AAAAAGAAAGGTAAGAAAAAGAAAAAAAATGTCATGCGAAAGAACGTGCACTCTCTCTTTTTCTTATTCTCCCTCCTCCCTCATCACACCCTCTCGTTCTCTCTTTCTCTGTTTCTTTCCGCTGTCATGAATCATCGTAAAAGTGTCCGCCCGCTCGATACATTTATACCGACTGGACCACGAGATGAAAGTAACTGCACTTGGATTTCAAACGTGACTACTCGTGTATGTGTGTGTGTGTGTGTGTGTGTGTGTCCATATGCATGCATGTACGTGCATATATGTACACTTTTGGAACGTCAAAAGTCCTTGTCATGGTTGTCAGACTGAAACGTTCCTACTCTCCATTGTCTCTTTTTCTTGTATTCTTTTTTACAGTTTCTTTCTTTACGACGTAATTCATGTATATTAATTACGGCATAGAATTTTCACGAAATTGGAATTTTAAATGCAAGTCCTCTACTACTACTACCCATCGGTATTTAAAAATCAAATTGCTTTTAATGGATTCTACTACTCGAGCAAACGTTGACATTTCACTTGAACTGTAAAAATAAATTTTCTTTTTTCTTTGAAATATATTTTTGTTAGTCCATTTGGCGAATGAATTTAAATTTGTTTTTTTTTTTTTTTTCAAAGTGTCGTTGATTGGATCGCAAGTTTTGTTGGCATTAATGCGGAAGTCACTGTCATCACAAATCATTATTAGCATATTATCGACGACACTTATCAGGGTGGCGCACGAAGGTCTATCCTCTTTCTTTTTCTTTCTTTCTTTCTCGAATAGGAACCCGTTAATAAATCACAGATCGTCTTTCTAGGCGATCCGAGGTGATATTTCATTCGTTAACAGGCATATAATTACGGTCGTGCAAAGACTCGACTCGATCAAATATTTTTTTTGCTTTTAACTCGAGTAAATATACGCACACGGTACTGCACGGACTATATATACTACGATCTGACTTTACTGCCGGAAAAGATTTGTTTTAAACTGCAAAAGAGAAAGATAGGTAGAGGCGTAGTAGTATCTAGCAGGAGTGTCTACTACTTCACCGGTATCATGCATCACCATCGCAAGTCTACCTTAGCGATGAATATTAACTCGATTCGTTTATTGTAAGACGCATCGGTGAATTTCCTGATCTCTTCTCTCTGCCACGATGATTTATCATGCCGTTCAATGTTAAGAGGATTCTGTAGTACATGCGATTACGATCGGAATCTAATATCGGTAACATAAAATACGAATCTGAATAATCGTTGAACGATTCTCTCTTCGTATAGGTAGCAAGTTATTTTGAAAGTTTGTTAACAATAAGTGCATGCAAATTTTTGAGAATAATCATCGTCCTTCGATCGATTCATTTTTTAGCAAGCAGAAGAAATCATAAACGAGGAGATAATGTCGACACGAGTCTTGGCACAAGTCGTCGTCGTCGTCGTAGTCGTAGTCGTAGTCGTAGTCGTTGTCGTCGTTGTCACCACTCTTGCGTTCCATTTCGCAGCGCCTGATGTACCTTTTTCCTTCGTTGCCAGTACGAGATAGACGGGTTGCAGTTCCCTCAGGCGCCGCCGCATTTCGAAGATCAAAGCGATCTTAAGTACGGCTGCGGGTGCGCGCGAACGCGTTATCATCCGCGTCGCATAAATATTTAAAGCGCGTTTACTTTTGTATGCAAATCGTAACGGCGCGCGTCCTTCGGACGTATTAGTAAATCTCGTTTGTCAAACCGACCCACTTTTCTCCTTTTCCGAACGTTCGTCATTTTTCAAGGGAAAACTTCTTTCGATTTGGAAATCATGAAACAAAAATAGTCATTGAAAAGAGACTAACTTACAAAAGAATGAGATAAAAAACAATATTCATTTGTTTCTTATTATCTTGATCTTCTTTTTGTGTGGTGCTTTGTAGTCTCCCCACTCTTTGTTTATCTGACAATAAACGTTGTAGACTCATCTTCATATTTGCACACATGATATTTTCTTTCAAGCGAAACTTTCCTCAAAAGCGACTTACTTGAAAAGATTATCTCATCTTCATAATCATCGGAAAACTATTTTTAGAAATTCATATATACATATATATATATATCTTTTTGTGTTACAATCAATTGAAATACAATTGTCAGATAGATCTTGCAAGAGATAAAAATGTATTTTATTTAGTCATTATTTTGTTTAGCCAGTGCAGACCGTCGATAATCCCTTAAGGAATTTCGTGCAGCAGGGTGCAGTAGAAGAGAGAAAGAAAGAAAGAAAGAAAGAAAGAAAGAAAGAGAGAGAGAGAGAGAGAGAGAAGCTAGAAGTATTAGGTTATGTGTTATAGAAGAAGTGGGGTAGGCGAGCGTGCGTGCGACGCGCTAGTAGCGTCACTGCGCCCATAATGACTCGAATAGCGGCCGTCAGGTGGCACTCCGATCGATCAGTAGTGCGCGTCGCTTTCCGCCATCTTTAGTTGTCGGTTCCGTGGCTGCTCCGATAGTAGTGAAAGAATATTAGATAGATAACGCGAAGATTTCTTTGGAATTTGAAGTAAGTGTAATTAGAGAGGTGAGGAGAAACTTGTGGTAAGGTAGGAGAGGAGGAGAGCCCGAGGCATTGAGTGAGTCAGCCGTTAAATCGCCGGCTCGTATCGCAAAGTTTTACGGAATTGTACTCCGGTGAACCTTGCAGTACGGTAAGTGCATCATCCTTCTTCGTTGCTCACTCAGCGTGCTAGTAGGAACGCTTGCATTCTTTTATTTTTCCTTTCTCTTTGTATCCATCGAAAAAATGGACTAACAATTCAAATTTTTTTTCACGAGACTGCTTGTGTTTACGCTGGGTGTGTCAAAGTGTTCACCTCCCCTCTATCCTCTTTGCTCATTCTCTCTATTTCTCCCTCTCTCTCTCTCTCTCTCTCACACACACACACACACACACTTTCTGTATCAATTCTTCGTTCTATGTATATAGCTTTCTCCCTCCATTCCACTCTTGGTCTTCCGCCCGTATCGGTTCCCCCTTCCGTGAACCCTCGACCCTTGTCCTCGCTCGCCCTTCGTTGTCGTCCCACTCCTGCATAGTGGATTGTCAGAAAATGGTGATGCATTGCATTCTCGGAGCCTTTGTTGTGTCACTCACCCACGCACACTAGTTTTCATTTTTGATCGTATGTACATATTTAACGAAAAATTGTTGTTGATTATTCTTCTATTTTATTTGTCCTCTTTGTATACTCTTGCATTTTATTTCATTCTTTCTCTACTTGGCTACTCTCTCTATCTCTTTCTCTATCTCGTTCTCTTTCGTTATCCCCTCTGTTCGCCTCACTTCACCTTACCCACTTAAGCTCAGCTCGCATGTGCACGGGCGTCCGTAATAGGCGATTCCGTAACGGTGCAACGGCACGTAGTGTGCTGCTGTGTTCGATCGTGAACACAAAAAAAGAAAAAAGGGGAAAAGCTCGTTTACAGAAGAGAGAAAGAGAGAGTGACTTAAAAAGATAGAAAGCAGTGGTGAGGTGAGGTGAGGTGAGGTAAGCGGAAATTGTCGTCACACGTTCGAAGATAAAAGCTGAGAAGCTGTGAGAAGACACCTCCGAGGGAATCTTTTGATTGTTCTATCCATCTTTTTTTTTTCTTTTTTTTCTTTTCTTTTATATACATCCTCTTCTGTCTCTTTCTATTTTGTCTTCTTTAACGTCACGACACACGGTGCACTGACCCCTTACTTACGCGCGTCTTTGGTATGCAACTCATTGACAATCATTTTTAACAAAATTATTCATTTTTTTTTCCCCACTTTCAAGTCCTTACACATATTTGTTTACACTTGTAATGCATTCGTAAGATTATTTTTTGTCTTGTTCATTTTAATTTCTGTCAACACGTTATTAAACCTTCTTATTGCAATAGTATGAATACTATTATTCATTTGTAAGTTATAAATTCTGTTTCTATTATTCAGGTGTGGATAAACTCTCCTGCCGGAACCATGAGTTATCAAATATCGTCCAATCAATCAAGACCAAGTAAGAGTGTACAGTGTTTATTAAATTATTAAGAAAAGTATTCCTGGGATTAAGTATTTAATGTTGTTTTGATTTGTAGTGTCCCATGGAAATTACCAGGGACCAGGTGATCTACCTATGGGGTCAGCAAAAGAACAGACACTGCTATGGCAACAGAATTCTTACATAGCAGATTCTGGTATCCATTCAGGATCAGTTACACAGGCCCCATCTCTGTCTGGTAAAGAAGATGACGAAATGGAAGGTGATCCATTGATGTTTGACTTGGATCAAGGATTTGCTCAAGGATTTACTCAAGATCAAGTTGATGGTGAGCTTTTATTAATATGAAAATATTAAGATTAGAAATGATATTAATTGCATTTTTATTTCTTCAGAAATGAATCAACAATTGAGTCACACTCGATCTCAGAGAGTTCGGGCAGCCATGTTTCCAGAAACATTGGAAGAAGGCATAGAGATACCTTCTACCCAATTTGATCCGGCACAACCAACTGCTGTTCAACGGTTGGCAGAGCCGAGTCAAATGTTGAAACATGCAGTGGTTAATTTAATAAATTATCAAGACGACGCAGACTTAGCCACTAGAGCAATACCGGAATTAATAAAACTCTTAAATGATGAAGATCAAGTAGTAGTTTCTCAAGCAGCCATGATGGTTCATCAGCTTTCGAAAAAGGAAGCATCCCGTCATGCAATTATGAACAGCTCCCAAATGGTAGCTGCTTTGGTGCGTGCTATTTCCAACAGCGATGATTTGGAATCAACGAAAGCAGCTGTTGGCACGTTGCACAATTTATCCCATCATAGACAAGGTCTTTTAGCCATATTCAAAAGTGGTGGTATTCCTGCACTTGTAAAGCTATTGAGTTCTCCTATGGAATCTGTATTGTTCTATGCTATAACAACGTTACACAATTTGCTCCTTCATCAAGACGGCTCAAAAATGGCTGTACGACTGGCTGGTGGTTTACAGAAAATGGTTGCGCTACTTCAAAGAAACAATGTAAAATTTCTAGCTATAGTGACAGATTGTCTTCAAATACTGGCTTACGGTAATCAAGAAAGTAAATTGATCATACTCGCTTCTCAAGGACCGATAGAATTAGTACGCATCATGCGTTCCTATGATTATGAAAAATTATTATGGACAACGTCTAGAATTTTAAAAGGTAAACATTATTTTCAATATCTTCTTCATTATTTTAACAAACAATCTAACTATTTTCTTTGTTCTTTGTTTTTGTCGTGCAGTATTATCCGTATGTCCTAGTAATAAGCCAGCGATCGTAGAAGCTGGTGGTATGCAAGCTTTAGCAATGCATCTTGGTAATCCGAGTCAAAGATTTGTACAGAATTGCTTATGGACATTACGAAATTTATCAGACGCCGGTACCAAAGTCGATGGACTCGAAGGATTACTTCAAAGTCTTGTACAAGTTCTTGGCTCAACGGATGTTAACGTTGTCACGTGTGCAGCAGGAATATTATCCAATCTTACATGTAATAATCAACGGAACAAGGTAAATTATTCGAGACGTAATACTAAATATTAGTTCCAATCATCAATGACACTTGTAAAATGTTGTTCTTTATTAGGTTACAGTATGTCAAGTAGGAGGCGTCGATGCTCTCGTCCGCACAATTATCAATGCCGGAGATCGCGAAGAAATAACTGAACCAGCTGTCTGCGCTTTACGTCATTTAACATCGCGCCACGGCGAAGCAGAAATGGCACAGAACTCAGTCCGTTTGAATTACGGGATTCAAATAATAGTCAAATTGCTAAATCCTCCTTCGCGTTGGCCATTGGCGAAAGCAGTTATTGGTCTGATCCGTAATCTCGCCCTTTGTCCTGCGAATCACGGACCACTTCGGGATCACGGAGCGATTCATCATCTGGTTAGGCTTTTGATGCGTGCTTACCAGACAACACAACGGGTGAGTGTATGGAGAGAATAGGTCGCAGAACTTGATCTGCGTCAATGGCGAGTATACGTGCGTTTTATATCTATATACAGCAGAGAACGTCAGTGGCCATTACTGGTAATCAACAGGCACCAGCGACGTATGCGGATGGAGTTCGTATGGAGGAAATAGTCGAAGGCACTGTTGGGGCTCTTCACATTCTTGCAAGAGAATCACACAATAGGGTCATTATCCGATCGCAGAATGTTATTCCAATATTCGTGCAGGTAATTTATAAATATATATATGAATCCTTTCACGATATCTATTATCTTTAATCGAAATGATTTGTATTCACAGCTATTATTCAATGAAATCGAAAATATTCAACGCGTCGCAGCTGGTGTACTTTGCGAGCTTGCGGCTGATAAAGAAGGTGCTGAGATGATTGAACACGAAGGTGCGACAGCAGCCCTAACAGAATTACTACACTCGAGAAACGAAGGTGTTGCAACGTACGCGGCAGCCGTACTCTTCCGCATGAGCGAGGACAAACCTCAAGAATACAAGAAACGACTCTCCATGGAATTAACGAACTCCTTGTTACGCGAGGATACGAATTTGTGGAACAATACTGATTTCGGCATGGGTCCAGATCTACAGGTAACGTGAACATTACGAGAAATATTTTAAATGCATGAATTGCTTTATGTCGTGGCTGAATTTATTTTCTTATAAACAATGTGCATACTTATATTTTATTTTGATATTGTTTAGCAGCGTGCACTGCTAAAAACAAACGTTACATTTAAGATTAGAAAGATCAAAAAGATTATCGTGCATTGTATGAAGTAAATGAAGCCACGTTATTTATAGAAATTATCCTCGATGTTTTCATATCAACGCTAAATTTGATAAAACAATATCAATAGTATCAAATATGCTTGCTCATATATATATATATTAGCTTGTATTCGTGTTAGCATAGACAGGTAGTTTTTACGATTGTTTCACTATTGCCCATTATCCAATTCGCATAACTAAAATTATTATATACGAAACGCCGCCGCATGGGGGGATATCACTTTTCAATTATTTTGTCTTTCTTTTTTTACATTATTATTAACTATTATATTATTGCTTTTCGTCACATCTAACTAAATATTTTATTTACAAGTTTGAACAATAACGAACAAGCTCCATGCTTTTAGCTTACGATTTTTTTTCGCATTACACGTTTCCAAATATGGCATCATTTTGCAAGTTTTTTTTATATTTAATATCATCTCAACTTTGTCGATAATATTATTACTATTAATAGCAATGGAAAGTCAACGAGTAATTGTATAAAAAGAATAAAAAACGAATCATCACCACTTTGATGAAGATATTATAATAATAATAATAATGTGCATGGGAATGCGTTTTGGTCCCCCGTTCGTGTTTTCGTCTCTGGGCTCAATGAAAATATCCGAAGAAATGGATTACAAAAAAAAAATACATTTTCAATACTTCGGAGACTATTCATTTTCCAATATAAAAAAAAAAAACAAACGTTTGCAATAAAACACGCGCGATTATTGATCTAAAAATAGGCGAGTATTTACCCCGTGTTTGTTTTATTTTATGGGGGAGTGAAACTATGAAATGATACACTCCCCCCGATTAGAACGATATGTTTTGTGTTGACCTAAGCTACCTAATCTTCAGGACATGCTTGGCCCTGATCAAGGCTATGATGGTATGTATGGACAAGGACCTCCTAGTGTACACAGCAGCCATGGCGGCCGTGGTTATCAACCACAAGGTAAGTTACGTGTAATCGAATCATTCTGCCCATCGAATGCTTTTCAAAAGAATTTAATAAACTTCAAAAAAAAAGAAAAGAAATTCTACTCGAGCATATTATTGAAAAATAATGAAAGTTATTTGTGTATATGTCTATTTAAAAAAAAAACTTAGTTATATACTACGTTATTCTTGATAAAATATATTCAACGTGAGTTTTATTCAAAGTCTTTGTCAGATATATCGGAAAATAGTTGTTTTTTTTTTTATTATTTTTTTCCAATAGTATAGGTAATACTTTCACTTTTCTATTACGGTAATGTTCTATTTTTGCATCCTCAATAGCGTTCTATGGACAACAACTAATATTTAACGATTCCCTTGATTTCTATACTTTTTTTCTATACTCGTAAATACGAATTATACTTTCAATTTAAACGTAATGCATTTAATTGTTATTTTAACAGCAGCTTAACCCACGGAGTTTAATTAAAATACAGGCTATCAACCGTATCTCGCAGTAACATAGGTGACATTCAGCTCTCTCTTACGTATACTGTTCTTTGCTGTATTTTATTGATCGTTCGTGCTCATCGTGTTCGCTTATTTTTATTTTTTTTTTTTATTTTTATATATATATATTTTATTCCTTTTTTATTTTCTTTTCCTTTTATCTTATGCTTGTGTCCATTAACACCTTACGCTTCTTCTTATTTTACAGGTTGATTGAAATTTTGATTTGAAAAGAAAGAAAATATTATTTTCATGCTTCAATGTGCACGTGGTGATTGTTTATATAGTGAATGTTCTAATTGTTTCACCATAGTTTAATCTATTTCATCAGTTTAAATGAAATAAAAACAAAAAGAAAAAGTCACAGATGATAATATTTAATGTTTATCACAATAATAATAATAATAGTAACGGGTTCTTCCCGGTGTTGTTCTGTGCATGCATTTTTCATCTTATTTCTCTTACGTCATCTCTTACGTAATCCTCTATGTGCTTTTTGGAAGAAAGAACGGCGTGTATATGGTACTCTATCAGGTACAGTGAGTTTTCTTTTTCAAATGACATATGTAGTGTAGTGTAGTGTAGTGTAGTGTAGACTTTGTATTTTATCTTTTCTTATCTTTTTAACTTTAACTGTGTGTAACCACTTTTATAAGATTATTAGAGAGCTATAATTTTCTTTTTCTTCTTAACTTCCTCTACTTTCTACTTCTACTTCTATTTCTTTTCCTTTTCCTCCTTCTCCTCCTCCTCCTCCTCGTTTTGATCTCTATATATATAAAACTGTAAAACTACGACGAGGAGGAATATTCCAGTTGATTAATCGATCGTACAAAAGCATGCAATCAAGCGGTTTCAGCGTCGGATTGTAATTTGTCCTGGCTTTCATCTTTTCCCCCTCTGTTTATTGAAGTCTGAAAAATCAATAGTCGTCCGCATTTAAGTGCGCATTTCTTCTCTCTTCAGAAATCTTCTCAAATTCTTCAGAATACGATGATCAAATTTATTATTATTATTATTATCATCATTTCGATATAATACGTCAAAGTTGTATAGATTAATTGTGTTTTTCTTTTTTTTTCCTAATTAAAAGATTAAGTAGTTTAGAAGATCATAAACGTAGAAAAATAAATACTTTGTGAATTATGATAAATAAAATTCGTTAGAAAAAAAAAAAAAAAATATAAAAAGGAAAGAATAATAAAATAATTTTGTAAAAGAAAAAGAAGAATACACAAAGAAAATACACCAATTGTTTTTGATTACAACACAGGTTATGACCAGATACCAGTAGATTCGATGCAAGGATTAGAAATAGGCGGAGGATCGACATACGGTGCAATGGACACTATGGATGTGGCGCATGAAGGTGACCTGAGTTTCGATCATTTGGAAGAACTTCCGGCGCCACCCCAGGATAACAATCAGGTTGCAGCTTGGTATGACACTGATCTTTGAATCCGTATCATCGTCCAAACTCTTCCGAGAGCTACGATTTCGTGAACATTTTTCAAAGGGACAACTACTACACATCAACAAAAATAAAAACAAAAAATAAAAATAAAAAATAAATAAAACAAACATGGAGAATTTTAATACAAGACGTACGTTTATCGCATCGTCCTGATATTTTATTCTCACCCTGTTTATCATTTTCAACGAAAATTAATTCTAAAACGTTCGCGCGTTATACGATGGTGTATACGAAAAAAAAAAAATAAAATAAATTGTTAATGTTAATTAACAAATAATAAAAGAAGATAATGTAACGCTCAAATATATATATATACATATATTTATAGATGTATGTAAATATATATATATGTGTGTGTGTGTGGGTTGGAAATTCGTCATTGTTGCCGGCAGTCGATCGCACTCACGACCTGAACAATTCAAACAAAACAAATTAATAAAATAAACAAAATGTGAACTATTAAATTAAGACGACATATCCAGCCGCGAGAGAAAAACTCTTCGTGGATTTTTATCAAATATACAAAATAAATATAAAGTAAAAAAGAAAAGGAACGAAAGAGCCAATCGAAGCATCGATTTTCTAACTTCCATTTTTGTTCTTTACATTGTTTTATTTTTTATTTTTATCTCTTTCTTTTTTTGTTTTTTTGTTTAAATAATCAGTCGATAAAGTTAACACTTCGTATCGTAGAAAAATGAGGCGACACTAAGAAAAAAAAAAAAAAAAAAAGGGTCGGGAAGAAACAGGGTGAGAAATGGTTGAAGCTGGGATGACAGTAAAAAAAAAATATTATAATAATATTAATAATAATATTAATAACAATATTAATAATAATAATAATAATAATAAAAATAGAAACAAACAAACAACGCGAACTTGTGAAAACAAAGAAGAAGATGATGATGATGATAATGATGATAATGATGATAATGATAATGATGATAACTACGTTTACGCATTTATATATCTCTGTCGGACGACAATATTTTATTTAAAAAAAAACAATCATTGTTCTATCGTATCACGTGCATGAGTGTGTTTTCAGAAAATAAAAAAATACGATTCGACCAGGGATGAAAAAAAAAACAAGTTAAGAAATAAATAAAGCAAAGTAATAGCAGAAAAAAATGAATGAAAGAAAATGAACTTAAAAAAAAAAGATTATAAGTATAAAAAAATGATGACGATCATGATGATGATGATGATGATGATGATGACGATGACGATGACGATGAAGATGATAAAGATAAAGAAACTGTATTGCCTAATACTTATTAATCCCCACCCCCTCCCTGAAATATTCACTGTATCATGTACTTCTTTCGAAAGTTGTGATTTGTAACCAAACTGCAAAATAACGACCTATTTATACCGCTATCCCCGAAATGGTAGTGTCAATCTCGTATTTTACAGGGTAGTTATACTTAATTTTTATTATTATCATTAAAAATGTAGATTCGCAATCGGAACTTGAACTTATTACTTATTGATCATTGATCATCAAATCTATGATCTATGTGTAAAAATTCTTCCGATTGCTGTCGATGTATTAGATTTAAGGAATGATAATGATGATGAAGAATAAAATAAAATAACAAAAAATAAAAAAAAAAATGTGAGAGAGACATAGAAAGCGTGCGAAAGAGAAAGAAAGAGAGAGAGAGAGAGAGGGAGATGCAAATAAAAGATAATGAGAAAGAGCGAGACTCGTAATTCGTACACATCATGTATATGTATCGTTTAATTGTCCATACGAAAATAAACTGAACGATTAAGTACTCGAATTATATATTCCCGTGATTATATTGTCAATTTATTTATTTCAGGTACGTTGTAAAAAAAAAAAAAAGAGAGGAATGATTTTAAGAATTAATAAACCATTGTCGTCAAAAGTGTTATAATTTTGTTTTATTTGCAATTGATACGCGTCAAGCTTGAATGATGCAATTGCAAGACATTGACTACTAACACGATGCCGTTCGTTGCAAAACCCTTGACTCGGTTCAACAACCATGGGTTACGAATATAGCGCTTGCTACTCCTGACTCCTAAGAATTGACTCTTAGAAATGTTATAATTTATAAATAGAATACGTGTGCAACGTGAAACGCTAATAAACCGTCTGCCATTGTCAGCTTGAGGTTAACTGATTTATAGAAAGTTTGTTTTACTTTCTTTTTTTGATCTATCAATAATAGAAATAATCTGTCAACAAAAATAAATCAAATAATCTCTGACCCATTGCTGTTTTCATTCAACGTTTTATAATAGTCTGTGTTGGACTATAGAATTGAACTAACTCACCGTTAGTTCAAACTCTCCACGACTGTTTCGAAATAATAAAAAAAAAAAAAACCTGAAAGGAATGTATCTCTACACGTGGGGTAATGTTTTTAAATGGCGTTGGATAGCAAGCTTTCTTGGAAATTGAACTTACGGCTAGGTCGTAGTAGTTGATCATACCGGTGCGATCTTAAATGCACATGCTTGTAAGTACTTACTTGTAAATGTTGAGTTAATACCGTACACGTTGAAATCCCGGAGAAATTCGTTCACATCTCAACGAAGAAGAAGAAGAAGACAACGATTTCTATACGTTTCTCAAACATGGCATATAGAAAGCTGTTTCATCAAAAGATACAGGATAAACTGTAAACGAACGTAAGTACTCTTTACAGAACACTTGTTTAACGGGTTACGATGAATCCTATACAGAAAATTGTAATCTAATGATATACACGAATGCGAACAGTTTTATTTTAATGGTATTCACTTATCATTCATCTTAACCGAACAAAATTTTTAAGTAGAAATTAGAAAATTCGATGAAACAACCTGTATATTTATACAGTAAGTAAGTATCTGATATAATTTATAAGTATAGAATGCACTTGCTCACACCAATGTTCCATTCTCTCTTTCTCTCTCACTTTTTTCTCGATTAGTTTTTGTTGTTAACGATCAGAATGGAACGTGCTTAGCTCACGATTTCGAACGAAACTACTGTATATATATATATATAGTTTCTTTCCTTTACAGAAGACAACATTTCTCTTTCCTATTGAGAAATATCTTTTTCATCTTGTAAATCGAATTGGTATCATTAGAAAATAGAAAGAAAAAAGAAAAAAAACAATCAGAGAAACTTTGAATACCATTTTGTAAATGACGTGTTGTGACTTTCACACTAATGTGCGTATTAATGCAAGCTCATGTATAATTAAAATCAGAGTTTTGACTAAAAACTTTGGATAAATTGTAAAATAAATAATTGTCATTATCGATGAATTAATTGACACAAATTGCAAGCTCACGTATAATTAGAATCAACGAATATTCATTTGTCATTCGATCAATTGGCACAAATTTGATGTCATAGATTGGTTTCTAGTTAGAGTGTAGGATATATTTATCAGGTCATTAATCGAATAGAAAGAAGCCAACTGTATATTATAAATATAAGTTATAGCTTGCTAGTGTCAGAATGGTGCGTGTGTTTGTTCGTAAGAGTGCGTATATAATACCACACACGTCAGAAAGTTTCGTGTTTAACATTAACGGTTGTTTCTTTACACGCGCGACACAAGAGAAAGAAAGAGGCTTGCCTTGGTATACCCGAAGAAACTTCTTCCAGTGTCGGTACTGACTTTAAAAGGGAAAGAGATACAAACGTTTCCGGTCTTTAGGGAAGAGTGAACATCTGTTCTTGTCATAACTATTCTATATTAGTATTCTTTCTTATCCACATATTTTCTCTCTAACGAACATATCATAATCCACGTGTTTATTTCAATTTGACGAATATTAAAAGTGTGTGTGAGAAATAGAGATAAAGTTTTGTTCATTTACGAACGACGACCCTGACGAAGAAAAGGAAAGGACGTCCTCGAAAAAGAAAATCAACCAAAGGTAGATTCATTCAAAACTATTTTCAAAGTTTCATAGTATTAGTGTGACCAGTTGTGGCTCGTGTAACTTCAAAAATCGTGATAGAACTGTTACAAGTTTAGTAATATTCAAATTGTTGTCAAAAATTAACATAAACATTATATTATTTATTATCAGTTATAGTTAGAAATTATTTTGATCACGTTGAGCGCCACGCGAATTCTTAAGGGAATTCCCGTCAGGCCACAGACCTTATTTAGTATTGAAAAAGTAGATGAGTGTCAGTCACCTATGACTGACGTGGCCTAAACTAAAAGTCTAATGTCAGTCATCGATGACTGACGTGGCGCTCAACGAACGTGTTAAACGAAAAACTCAATAAATTGAATTAATTTTAACAATAATGTAGAATTTGGTGCAGATATACCTACGAGCCATCCCTGTTTTATGCATGTGTGTGTGTTATATTCGATTTGGTTTCTCTTGTTTGAATTTTACAGCGTTCTTTCAACCCTGTTTTTTTCACATTCTTTAGCGGTCGTGCGTGTTTTTAAATTACGACGAGGTGGATACGCGAAAGGTGTTTAACATTCTCTCCTCTGTCCTCATGCAAATTTAATCTTTCTTCTTTGTTCATTCATATATGTTTTTGTAAATGTGTGTAGGTGTGTGTGTATATGTGTAATATATTTTTCTTATTCGAATCGAATCCATGAGTTCAAGGATAGAAAATATCGTACTACATTATGACGACTTGTATATAGATGATTATATTTTATTGAAAATTGACAATTTTGCATTTTAAAGATTGTTATTGAGACTTGTATTAATTAATTAATCCTCTGAGTGTAATTGAGAAGATTCAAAAGAATGATATTCCATCCACATGTTACCCTTGAAACACTGCAACTATTCGTTCGAATCGTTGCACACATGTCTTTCATTAAATTCATATTTGTATTGAATAAAAAATAGTGTGAACAAATATTCTGTATAATAATATCGAATGATAAATTAATGAATTATTTAAAGTTTTTTTTTTGTTTTGTTTATCTAGAAAGTAATCGAATAATTTGAAGTGATCGTAAACTATTGAAACAAAACAAACAATGACGTGAAAGTGCATAGAAGACAAGGAAGGAACAATTCTGTTTCTCTATTCGTTATTCGTGGGAGTTAAAAGGCTTGTAAATTCGTTGAGTGCACTTTAACTTCCGATCTTATTGCGAGATTGCGTGCGAAACTTCTCTTTGAGAGCTTCATTGATTCCGTGACGGGAGAATGCGATGCTATTGCACCTGCAACTCTCTTAGCTTTTGCTTAGACTGGTCTACTCTCACCTCGTATGTTTAAACGATCTACATAGATATATACGAACCCTGTATCTATTCTATTAACGGTGTTGAATTGTTCATTAGAAAAATACACCATAGAATTAATGTTCATGCATATCATCATCAAACTATCATCCTAACTTTCACAATAATTTCAATATCATTTGAATGCTTTTAAAATGTACAAAAATATAAATGAACACGTTGAATGCAATAGTTGAATATAACAATTAATGCTGTATAAAATATTTTTGAAATAGTTTTACAGGTTTTTTAACACGTTGAATGCCCACATCAGTCATTAATGACTGACACTAAATTTCCCGTTCAGGTCATGTTACAAAGATGAATTTTTGAACAAATTGAGATCAAATCTTTGCTCGTTGATGTATAATTTATGGATACCCTGTATATTAATCATCAGATATTTTAGACTTAGAAACAATGTACTACGTTTTTTAGTTCATTTATTTTCAAAAATCAGATCTACATTAAACAAATGTATAAAAAACCTTCTGTACAAGATTAAAATTAATAAAATATATTTAAATTCAATCAAACAATTAGTTAAAATTATTGTTAAAACCCCCAAACAGAAACAAAATTACAAAATCGTAACATCAAGGTAAGTTGTATTACTTTGTTACTAATTGTTCGAGCAAATAAAATATGCAAATCTTTAAAAAACTGAAAATCAGGATTTAAAAAATATTTAAAAAAGGATCAAACGTGCCACCTCCTCGCACATCATGTGATCCTGTTACAAATCTCGATTTTCGACAAAAATTTGAAAATTTTCTCGAAAATCGGGATTTGTAACAGGATCACATGATGTACGAGGAAGTGGCACGATTTCGGGTAATTCCTGGAAATGAGGTTTCTCAGAATTTCGAAAATTCTTGGAAATGAGGTCAAGTTCCGAGAATTTTCGACCTTAATAACCTTATTTCCAAGAATTTCCAAAATTCTGAGAAACCTCATTTCCAGGAATTACCCGTAATCGTGCCACCTCCTCGCACATCATGTGATCCTGTTACAAATCTGGATTTTTGAGAAAATTACGAAAATTTTGTCGAAAAATTTATATTGTAACAGGAACACATGACGTCATAGGAGGTGGCATTTATTGCATTATTATATTATTGTTATACATTTTAAAAATATAGATCTGATTTGTTTTATAATAAATAAGACTTAATTGTATAAAAAATAAATAATAAAATTGAAAATGTTCTACACAAGCCACTGTTGAGTATTGATAATCCTCATGGTGTCAGGAAACTCCCTGAGATATGATATGGGAATGAGATGTTTCTTCAACCTATTAACATAGTAATAAGATGTAAAATAGTAATGTTTAATATACATGAAATCCATAAAAATATTTGATGGATATTATGCCGTGAAAGATTGAAAATGTGACAAATCGAATCCCTCTTAAGAATCGTCCTTGCTCCAGACAGCTTCATAAACGTGCCCTCAGTAGTTTCGGGGAGGGAGTAGAACACGTCGTGCTGTGTAGAACCGGTAATGACGTGAAAGTGCATCCACGAGTGAGCGAGCGAACGGCAAGCAGCAGTCCTCTGGCTCCGTTCTCTCTTCGTTCTAGACAATCTCCCGGCTCGTGGGCACAGACTCCAATTTCATCGACTTCAACAGAAATTGGCCGTTCCTTAAAACACGATAGAACATATCTTAACAATTGTCTTGAAAATACGAAACTAATACCACTAAACTTTTCATCAAACTTGTTCCTCATCAATCACAGTTTGTTAGTTTGTGTGTTCATCTTGTTATACTGTTAATTTCATTATTTATCAATGGTGTTAAAACATTCAAGTACGTCGATTAGTATCGTCTTACATCTTAGCAGCTGGTTTACAGGTGTCCATTTTTATCGTTCACCTATAACCGGTCCGATCTTAATGAGTTTTCACATAGGCCACTGATTTTTAATGGACTCTTGTTAATTGGGTCAAGTACTCGAAAGTTGACAAGATTCTGGGACACTTTTGCCAAGTCAAATTTCAACGAGTGTCTGTAATTATTTCGAAAAGGATTTGAAAATAAACACAGTGTGCACTTTTCTTTGGGATCTTCAATATTTCTCAGTGAGTGAATACTTTCTTTCTAAGTATAATTTCAAACATTTGTTTTATTTTATTTCTTTATCCCTGTAATTGTAAGTTTTACATGCACACTCGAAAAAAAAAAGAAAAGAAAGAAAGAATTTTTGTAGGATTAAATCCCTTGCGTTTAGTTTTCACGCTTTGAATAAAAAAATGCAGTGTGTTAAATCATGGTTGACAGTGTCAAGAACCTGCACACGCATCTAAAGTTCCGTGATATCGTATTACATCGTATTACTCTTACCACGAAGAAGATACACCACACATTGGTCACGAATGTGCATCACAGTAGTACCTGTTGATGTTGTTTTCTTTTTCTTCAAATTTATCGATTCATTTCATTAAGTCCGATAATAATAGAAATTTCGCATATAATTTACAGTACGAATGAGCAACTTCTCTTCCCCCACTCTGGCATCATCAGACGTCGTTTTCTTTTCTCTAAATTAAATAAGAAAAGAAAAACAGGATCGTGAGAAGAAGAAGAAGAAGAAGAAGAAGAAGAAGAAGAAGAAGAAGAAGCAAAGCGCAACGGCATCGATTCGATCTGCTTCCTAAAAGGATTTCTACATTCGACGAAACAGAAGAGCACAAGGTGTTTGGTGCAGTGTGCGAATCGGAGTATAAAAAACGTATGCAATTTATGCATTAGTGTTAGGTGATTAAAGGAAACAAAAAAAAATGAGGTTGATGATTTCATTCGCGAATGAGGACCTCTCAGAGGGACGTTGACGGAAAAAGAAATTTTGAAAAAAAGAAAAAAGAAAAAAATCTAAAAACAAGAAGTGAAACAATTTTTGAAGATGACCGTCACGATGGAACACAAGAGGAAGAGTTCGTGGGATTCAAAGGTGAGAGACACGAATCTGGCACACTTTCTACGTTCTTTCAGTTGCTTATTTTCTCATTAACTATCTATGTTTATGTGCATTAGAATGTGTTTTTTTTTCTTTTTCTTTTTCGTTTTTTTCTCTTTTTTGTTCTGTAAGAGATACGCCAGCAACGTTAATTAGATGCTCGGACCTCGTGCGAAAATATTCTTAACAGTCGTCTGCGAAATCGTCGTCTCGGAAATGCACCTTCTGTTTCTCGTGAAAGACGTAAAACCTGAGCACGGAAGCGTTATTATTGGATTTTACGCCTGCAATTTTCTTACGATCGTTTCTTCCTTTTATTTACCTCCCCTCCCCTCCCCTAACATTATTTTTTTTATATATATATAGTATATTGCTTTTCGTGGAATTTGTGATAATAATCGTAGCATTTAAATAATTTTCATTCAATGACGACATTGATTTTAGTATCCTCCTTCTTGTTTGTTCAAATAATTACAATATCATTAATCATTTGTATTAGAAAATGAAAATAATTTTTTTTTTTTTTTGATCAGCACAAAATTGAATTTTGAAAACATGTTGGTTTGTTCTGTAAGAATACTTTGTAGAATTTATCTATAATTCGCGTCAGCTATAAGATTAAACTTTGGTAGACTTTTAAAAACTATATTTATTTTTAGAAACGTAAGCCAAGCAGGGAACTACTGCCTGTTGTGACCTTCTAACTAATCTTTTTGCACAATCCTAAGTCTCCGTATTTAGCAGGGAAATGTCAAGAACAAAGATCAACGCTTTCGTAAATCTTACTTATTTTCGAGTGTAGCTACGTTTACTGCAAAATCACGCATAACTACATTTCTTTCTTTTTTTTATTTTTATTTTCAATCAAATTTACAGATAACTCAAATAAATTTATGTAAGAAAAATAAAGTTACAAAAAGGGTTAATGGAATCTGTTGTCTTGGTGTTATAAGAAACGAAACAACCTGTTCTGGGCGCATATTCTTTGAATTATTTCTGCGGTCTGGCAGTCTGGACTCAAGGGAATTAGATATACGTCTGGTAATAAACCAAACTCCTGTGCATACTTAACTTCTATTGAAAATTACTATTACGAGTAGGAAGATCACGATTGGATGCAAATTGTTTCAAAGAAGATTCTAATTTACAAACGTATCCTCTTTGAATTACACAAATTTGAATGTTGTTCAAGAATCCTAATACTTTTGAGTTGGATGATACACTCAAGAAGATTCTAACCAAAAAATCAAAAGAAAAAAAAAAAAGGAAAAAAATTCGAGTCTCGTTTCTGTTTTCTTGGAAACCTTAAAATGGTCTCCGAAACCTTCTATCCGATCGACCTTGTTCTCCATTGACCCTGAATGAGTATAAGAGCGTGTGTTGAATACCTACGCACTCGCCTTAGGAGCTTTGAGAAACGAAGAACTAGGCTGACCGGAATAGAGAACGATGCGTTAACGTTGAACTCAGTTTATTGGCTCTTTCAGTTGGAGTTGGGTTGGGCTGTCATCTGTTCTCTTCACCGATTTACCGTTAAACCTCTTACCGACACTCGATCAAGCCGATTGACATTCCAAACACCGGAGACGAGGAATTGTCACTCGTCGATTGTCAATTTTATTCTCTCAACAAATTATTTGCTACCTGATCCCTGTTTAGGTCTACCGGAAAATTCTGTACGTTGAAACAAACAAACATTAGTTCAATTTGTCGTCACTAAGAGTAAGGCCCCATTTCTTAAATTGCCACCACCATGTTGGCAAAAGTTCAAAAGTAATTAAATGAATAATTTATTATTTTATTTTATTTTCTTTTCAAAATCAACACAATTTTCTATAATTATTCAATTGATTCCATTCTATGCGGAAATCATTACGATAGTAATGAAAGTTTATGACTTTTTTTTAGATTCGATCAAACTTGAGAAAAAGTATTTTATCCAATCAACATTTTTCAATACAAAAGTAGTTTATTTTCTCTTCATTTAAGGATCTAGCAGATTTAAGAATTTTGAACGAATGATGAATGTTTAAAAGACCTGTTAGTTATTTCCAAGAAGTGGAAAGTAAATACTTGCATTTTATACCTGTTTACTTTGTCTAACGATTTTTAATTGGACATAGTGTTTTCTTTACGGTTCTTTTTTTTTTTATTCTTTCTTTTGGTGACGAGGGGAGGGTACGGGGGTGAAGAAAGCATTATGGTGTTTACTAGAATCGAATCAGTGGACCGAGAAGGCTACGAGTTTACGAGTGTCGGACGATCGTTACATGCATACGCGAGGGGTGTGACGGGGCGAGGAGGGGTGGGGGAGGGGGAGGGGGCTTCGGAAACGGGTAGAGTGTAATTTAAGGCGAGCAAAACTTGTTCCTAGATTCTCGTTCTTTTCGAAAGGCAGGTTAACCTGGTGTTGTTTGAAGTAACGGTAGTAACAGTCAAGTAAGTCAAGGGGGAGCTCTGACACATTCCATTTTTTTGTCATTTAGAGAAAGTTTGACTACTGTGAACTGAAACTTTGATACCTTTTGCAAGATGTATAAATGATTAGTATGTATTCCAAGGAAAGACCCTTATAAATCCTATTGGGTTTCCGGGAAACCGTGATGGTTCGAGTCGAGGACGAGTCTTGCATTTATTTGTGAGTCGTAAAAAAGTTCATAGGATGACGTCGAGTGAGTCGAGATGACTATGATAAATGTACAACTTCCGTAGGGTGAGTTGTTTTACACTCATGCACACAAGTACTTTTATTATATCTTCTAAATAAACATAATAAACATTTGAGAAATATTGTAAGTAATAAAATGTATTTAGAAGTTAATCGATTCAATGAACTTTCACGAAAGTCATTAAAAACATTGAAAAATAATAAATCGAGCAAGATTGAAATTTTTATGTCGGCCTTGAAGTCATTGACCGTGTCCATTAGGAAGCATAGTTAGGTATACGTTTAGTCTATTAACACTTTAATCTATTTCTACCATCGACTAGATACTAGATTCTACACTTACTGACATTGAAATCTACTTTCGAAAAGGAGACCCTCACGATGATATTTTTCTTCTACGTTCTTTCTTCGCATTAACTCTTGAAAGTCAACATGATTATTTCCAATTGTAATTGGCAATTTGATTTACGATTGGCTACACACTTTGCCAAGCTTTCACCGATCACGAAATTGAATATATTTTAAATAAATTGTTTATCATCGTTAAACATCCATGCACTTCTTTCTTTCTAACTTTTTATCAATTCAAGAATTTAGGACATAAGGGTGATTTGTTTTTTGGTGGTAATCTATGCTAAATCTTTTTCTTTAGTCAGAAAACGTCTTTCGTCATGAGGAATCCTTTCTTTTGCTGAAGATCAGGTCACATGACCTTTCAGTTCTATTACGGAGAATCACGAGATACCTTGTTGTTTCTTGTAATGGATAGATAACTGGTAAAATATCACGTAGAAAATGAATCTTCTTAAATAAACAAGATTTTTTTTGTTTAGTATGAATCTTTGTGTTTTTTTGTTTTTTTTTTTTTTGTTTACCTGATCAATCAGATTAATTGAAGTCAATAAAATGTTTGAATACTATCTTAGAATCGAGCAACTACAATGCAAAAGTCTTTGTGCACGAACTTTCATTGGACTTTCGTAATATGTGCACCATTGTTCGGTAAAAGAGGTTCTTTTGGATCGTTAAACTTATTACATAAGATTTATACAAAACTCGATCATGGAGCATGATCGGTAGCGTTCTAAGCTTTAATTAAAATTATATCTATCGTCTAAACGGAAAGGATAGACTTCGTTCATAAAGTTCGTGCTCTCGATATCTCTCGGAGAAAACAAAATCGAGTCAGAAGATACGAACAGAAACCGTTTCACCGGTATGTTTAGTTAGGTTACAGTCTAGTAGATTTTCAGGTTTGCATTTTTAAGATGATAATATCATGCCGATTTCTCATTAATCTTGAAAAATATTCAAACGTGCACGAAATCGTTTGATACATTTCTAATAAAACTCGTTTAATTAAATAGGAAAATGTTCATGACCTTTTCATTACACGATATGTTAATTTTATTTTCTAATTTTTTGCATCGATACATTGATTACGTTTCTATAATTAATTAATCAGTTTATAAAATTAAATATAGTTTGATCAGTTACAAAAGTACGGAAATGATCTCAATTCTCAATAGTTAAATTAATAATCATTTCCGTCAAACAACAACAACAACAAAAAGGCTAATACCATTTCCGTTTATTTTGCAAATCGTGTAATGCAAGCCTTTAGTATAATAAACTGGCGTGAGAAAATCGGTTTCTCCTCTCACAAACATTATTCGTTTCTCTTTACTCGTTTATTCGCTTTTACTTTACCGATCTTAACGATATTCATGATTATTCTAAGAAGAATCAATATGTGATCTTTTAAATACAACAACAAAAATTAAATCCATGAATTGTACACAAGAAACGTGTTAAAAGAATAAATAATGCATATTAAAAATAATTAATTTAAGTATCAATAATCAAATGAATTTTGTAATCACACATAAAACAATTTTCTACGAACACTACAAAAAATTCATGGTGGGTTTTATCAACCTATAATAGAGAAATGTCATTTTATAATGTTGAATAAAAGGTCAAGTAAAAGAGTATCGTCCTTGGAATCAAATAGAAATCATCCTTATGAAACTTCCACAAAGGAAGAGAATGCATTTTCCCATAGAAACTCAATCGAATAAAATGGATCGAAGTTGAATAAAACTCGTGACATTTCGTTTTAACAAAAGGATATAATAAAAAGAACTTTAGAACTAGCCCACTCATCATCATCATCATCATCATCCTCATCATCTTCATCATCATCAGTCGATGGAAAGAAAGGTGCGATTCTTCGGTTGTTACAGCATGTACACCATACACCATATACCATAGAGCGTGAGCCAAGCGTAACATTTGAACAGGGAGGCCTACGCCCTCTCTTTCTATACACATGTATATCTGTGTGTGTGTGTGTGTGTTTGTTCGTTTATCTATTCGTCGCGTGGGCTAGATAGAGAAGAAAGGCATTAGAAAGAGAAGTTGCATTAATCGCGAGTTGCTAACGTAAATTGCACGCGCATTTGCACAGCGACGATTATACGGACGCTTACTCTCATAGATTTGCAAGTTAGGTTTTTATGGGGAGAGAGGGTAACTATGGGTAACTATTTCTGTAAATCTACTGGTTTGTTCACACACACACAAAAAAACCAACAAATTATTATCATATTATTGTTAAAACAACGCATTACATTTATCTTGAATTATTTCAATATATTTTTATCTAATATTATTTTTGATAAATAATTGAATAATATACAGTGTGTGTAAAATTTGAAATAACTCTATATATATGCAAAGTATTATAGCATTGCTAAAAGTGACGTGTTACTTTGAAATAAGGTTAAAATATTATCGTAGAACACGTGTTCATTGAATTACTTTTTGTTTGCTTATTTTTTTTTTAATAATTTTTATTAACTTCTGAATTAGGTCTCACGTGTTTTGGATAATACACTCTGTATGCACACACATACATACGGATAAAAATACTAGTATATGAGTATATTTTAACCACATAGGAAAGGAGAGAGAGTTTTACATGTCACAACACACAAGCAAGAGTTTCGATCGGAGTCGATCGGTTTAAAGCGCGGATATGCGCCTGCATAAGCTACGATTCGGACAATTACACGGCTAATCGCATAATTACAGGCTCTGACACTCGTGTACGTTACAAGGCGTTTCCTGCTTTTGTGATTTGTGATTATTGTTCGATACTAAACAGAAAAATTATCTTTCATCGAATTGTTAATAAAAAAAATGAACAATATTTTTTATTTGATTTTATTCTCAAGATACGAATCTTCAATTCGGAATGTTGTTGAATTAATTTGATTAAGATTGAAATCTCCTATTTTTTTTTTTTTTTTTTTTTTAACAATCGATATTATTAAATAACTATGATTGCATAATTTGCTATTTCACTGTAGTAGAAAGCAAAAGAGGATCATTTAATAAGATTCGTGTCTACACTGGGAACCTCTGTAAAATTTCTTTCAAACGATGGAATGAGAAAGAAGTATTTCGTCATGCGCCCACGTTGCTACTTCACTTCGATGTCTTCCACCATTGCATTTCGATTTCGTAACGACAAATTTCGCTATAGGGTATAATATACCTATGTATATATATATATATATATATAACTCGAGGGAGTAATTTAAGATGAAAATCATCGGCAACGTTCTACATTTCATTGGTTACCTCGTAAATTTATCCTACCATAATTTATTATTTCTTTCAACTATGAAATACGACTCTTATGGTGTGTCTATCAGATGCATCATTTTGCATGAGGATTCAAATAATTCATGTTAATCATTATACGTCATCGAATGATACAATTCTGCACATGTATATAAAAATACACGCATACTTGAATATTATTTTATAAAGTGATCATAATAACGATGTATACTTTGAAGAAATTTCACAGCATTGTTCGCGATCATCCGCAGATCTCGGTGAGCACGGTTAGCACAAGAAGATTCAGTCGAGCTGGTACACCAAGTTCAATCTTGTCTTCGGACAGTGACATCAGATTCACAAGGAAACTTGGTGGTCAATACAGATGTGGTTGCTGCGTTCTGGCTGCTTTCTTATTCTTCCTTCTATTTTCTGGAGTTTCAATATATCTTGGCTGTAAGTATCTTTATTATCTTTATCTTTATCATTCAATATTATTTTTCAAACATGATACATCAATTTTCTAAATTTCATTGCATCAAAATAAAACTGAATAAACGTTAAATGACACGTCAGTCATTTGTGACTGACACTAAGCACTTAAACTTTATTAACAAACGAACCAATGAAAATTATTCTGCATTAATTTAATTGTTGATCATCTGTTGTTAAACTGATGATAAAAAAAAATAAGAGACGAATTCGTGTTCGTTTTCACCGCTTTCACCATAAAATCCGATGTTGAGATTCTACCTGAACGAAAATGTACAATTCCTGTCGGTTGTAGTCCTAGCCATGATGCGGTTTAGAAGGCATGAAATTACATAGTCGTCAAAGAGACTCTCGTCGCGTTCCTCAAGCGAGAAACCCTTTCGATGAAGTTTGCGTTCACGGTGTCTGAACCTCTTACGAACCGCGAACTATGATCGACGTTTCCTTTTGTCCAAAACAATTTAACATTTTTCTAACAATAACATATATTAAATGGAATAGATATACCATAATTTTGTAAAATAGAAAAAGAATAACAATTGTTACAACATTACGCAATTATTAAGTGTTTGACTGACTTGTAAGTTGCATGGAATTTAATTGAAACACTTGTTGAAGTATAACTGTAAAGTTAAACCGTGTGATTCTGAATGAAGTTATTTAACCTCTATAATAAGTAACTGATTAAAAAGTCAATTCACTTTCCGACTCGTCTTAGAACAATCGGAAAAAAATAATAGTCTTTAAGCGTACGGTAAATTCATGGGAATCCCGTCAATTAAAAATAAATGTTGAATAAAAAAAAATAAAGAAATCAAATGTAAAACAAGAAAGGAAATTAAAGTAACACGTTGTAGATCGAAATGTTAAGAAGAATGTTCAGAAGCAACGAGTATATAATAAGGAGTTTATTAATGACGCTAACGTGTTAAAGCAAAAACGTGTCGATAAGTGTATTGTGTGCTTATAAGCGTGCAAAATATAATAAGAAGAAGAAAAAGAAAAAGAAGAAGAAGAAGAAGAAGGTGATGCGGCCAAAGCCCATTGAGGTCTTTCAGCACGCAAACATAACGGTCTGACCGAGTTACCGAGTCTTCGAGGAAGTCATGAGTAGTCGTACATTTGATCGAGACTGCTTTTTCTTTTATTTCATCTTCTTACAACTTTATATTGACTAGATAACTTCCTGTCCAAGTTTACTTTGCAGGATTCCTTTCCTGTAAAGTACCCTCAAGTACCGTTTCATCCAATGTAGCTACATAGCTACATTCAATTCAATGAAGATTCATTACTTTTAATAACGTAACCTAACAAATGCAATTCTCTCTTTGATATGAAGATGTTTTAACACGTAATATATATATAAAAAAAAAAATAAAACAATAGGAAGGTACATCTCGTGCGTGGTTTAATCAAAAATCACGAATTACTTTTAATAACATTTGTTTCGTAAGTAAGACAACCTAACCAAACTAACCATAAATACAATTCCCTCTTTGATATGAAGATGTTTTAAAAATAAAAGAGTAGGAAGGAGGATATTTGATTTAACGATGAATGAAAATATACATTTCATGCGTGGTTCAACTAAGAGTCACGAAGGAGAGGAAGGATCATCATCTTAGGTCCAGCAAGGTCTTCGAAGTAGTAAAAGGTAACGGTCTGACCGAGTTATCGAAGTGACGCGCGCCTATGACCACTTCTCCTCGACCTTAAAGTGGAGGGGTAGTGTCCTTGAAACATTTTGATACTCGTACTAACAGAAAGAGATTCTTGGTAGGAGAATGCGCGTGTAGTCAGGATGATGGTGAGAGTAAGAAGAGGGTCAGAAAGAGTGGAGGAAGAACCTCAGGTTGACTTTCAATACCGGAACTCGTATAACTTCACTCGTCATCCTTCCACAATTTTATTTATGAACAAATGGTTAAAGCACAAATTAATAATTAGAAAACGTGTTTCCGTTCAGTTTCCATTCGCACGTATTTTTCTATCAACGATTTAGGTTTAAAAATTGTATGGTCGACTTTACTATCTCGAGTATCAAACTTGAAACCGCAAATTTGAAACTTGCCGCTGGGAAATTGATTGCAAAATAAGGACTGACTTCTTCTTCTTCTTCTTGTTCAAAAAAAAAAAAAAAAAAAAGAAAGAAAGAGGCCTCTCTAACAAAGATGAAGGGAAAAATCGTTGACCGAAGTTTGCGGTGAAAGGTGAGTCCTCTTGGACACCGTAGCTGCGGGCACCTGCGTGTCCTCGATTCTTTCATCTTATAATCTCATCTCGATAATAGTGGTCCATAAAAGAAAATTAACTTAAAACACCTAACGATAATCCTAACAATTACTCGTATACTTGTTTATTCATTTTTACAAATAATTAATCAAAATAAAAGAAAACGGGAAGGAGAGACAATATAATTATAGGTTCATAAGAAAAACAGGTAAACTTAGAACGTGACTCTGTCTCGTTTGCGCGCTCATTTCCTTAATCATAGAACTATCTAATTATGGTAATTAGTAAGTAAAGCATTTTAATAGTCTCGGAAATCTATCCTTTTGGAAACCTATAATAACGTCATTTAGGAATGGTTAATTAAGGATGTTGTGTTGTATGATGTTTCAGACACGTTCCTAACATCGGACACACCAGCGGATCAAATATTCTTAGCAACTTTCCGTGTTACCGAGGGAGATTATTTTGCATTGGAACTGGCAGATCCATCTACCGAGGCCTTTCGCATTAGATCTCGAGAATATCGTGATCGTATCAATCTTATTTTCCGTCGTAGTTGGCTCAAACTTTCATTTCTCGCCTCAGATGTTTTAGCACTCGACGGGTAAGTTCGTTTTCAACAATTTACCCTTCTTTATCGGATCTAAAAAATGGATCATTTCAAAAACAAAATAAAATATATTAAATAAGAACTTACATCCACGTTTATCTGATATCCCAGATTTTAGGTTGAAAGTTAAAAGCGAATAAAAATAAATCGAACAAATGGAGTTTCTTGCAAAACGGAATAATTGAAAGTCAACCGATGTTCTTCCCAGAGATTTATCTCGCTTCGGTATTAGAGAAAACCTTTTCACGATTCCTCTCGACTGCTTTCTTACGGCTCATACATAAGCAAACGCGACGAGATGTGCACTAGGAATGAACGAGCTTTGAATGCCACCTTCTTCTCATCAATAATTTATTCTCCCGTTTCACATCAAACGAATACACTAGGCTATCCATTTTGCAATTTTTCCAAATATTTTCTAAACTGGAATAGGAAGGATAGTATTTTGTGGATGGGTGGGATTTTAAATTAGGACATGATTTCTCCCGGATTTTGGAAGTGGGAGAGAATCAAGGCTCGCGTAGGGCAGGGTCGCATCCCTGAAGTAGACCCAGTTTCTGTTGCAATCAAAAACAGAGTCTACCCGCTACCCCTAAATGTTCTCATATCATGTCCAACTTTGTTTTATTTTTAGGGTGGAGGGTCGCGACTTGGTGGTTCATTTTGACGTCAGATTTGATCCACGATATCAAACGATCACCACCAGTGATGTGGTTGACATTTTATCACGTGAGATCGATCCCAATACTACGAAATATTTATCCAATTTAACGATAGATGCTAAAAGTCTCGAAGTTCAAGAAAGTTTAACAGCATTAAATGCACAAGTCAGCTTACAGACAACTATTTCAACGATTCCACCAACTACAACAGCACCACCACCAAGAAGATGCAGTAGTTTAGAATTATCTTACTGCAAACATCTTCCATACAACATCACTTCCTATCCGAATATGTTGGGACACCGTTCTTTGATCGATGTTGAGGAAGACGTTATTGCATTTAGGTATTTTTTTTTTTAGGATAGGATAGTTTTGAACTTTCTACATCAAAGGGTTCATCTAACATTGTTAACTTTACATTGATAACTTGAATTTTCTATCAGGGAATTAGTAGATGCCGAATGTTATCGTTCAGCATACGATTTCGTCTGTCAGGTTTTACAACCTGCCTGTCTAACCGGTGAACCCGAAGATTTATTGCAATTACCCTGCAGAAGCTTTTGTCGTGAATTTTGGAATGGCTGTGGAAATAGACTTCCCGATAGGATCAAACGAGCCTTGGATTGTTCCAATTTTCCCGAATACGCTGATGTTGGTAGTTGCCGACCAAAACCAGGTAATTTTCTTCAATCCTTGTTTTTATCGGACAACAATTGATCTATTGTTATTCTAGGATGTGTACAAACCCTTCAATCGAAGGCCTTGTCCCCAAGAATTTGTGACGGGGTGATTGATTGTCCGGATTTGGCTGATGAAAAAAATTGCGCTTATTGTCGGGACGGTTATATGCACTGCGGAGTTGGAAGAACTTGCATTCCTCATAACAAACGTTGTGATGGTAAAATGGATTGTCCAAATGGAAGCGATGAAAAAGATTGTCGTGAGTACAAAATATTCATTCATTTAAATTGTTACTTTTTATTTGTTTAACAATTTGGTTCATTTTTTTAAGTGTCATTGTCCCAAAGTGTACGAGCAGTCAAATCCCAGCCATGGGATACACCACATGCTGCGAAATATAACAGCGAAGGTTACGTTGTTTTTAATGAAAAAGGTACAATTGGTAAATTGTGTACGGAAAATTTGAACGCCACTATGCCAGCGACAGAAATGGAAACTGTGCTTCAAACTGTAGCCAATTCTCTTTGTACTTTGTTAACATATACGTAAGTACAATTATTGTATTTTATAAATGAAAGAAATGTCATTGAAATTTTGATTTTTTTGTTTCATAGTGGTGTCCAATCTGTCGAGGTAAGAACTGATGATGAAGAAGACGTTCAATACGTTCACATGGAAGATCCATCAGCTACAGAAATAACATTTGTTAGGGCACCCTGTCCAAGTAAAGACGTCATGTACATCCGTTGTTCTGAACTTGGTACAAAATCACAAATTACCAACAGAATAATTGGTTCTTTCTTTCATTAATCTCATGTATCTATCGGTTTCAGAATGTGGAGTACAGGCATTACGAAATAAAGGTAAACAGGGTCTAAGTAAAATGGCAGAACCTGGTGACTGGCCTTGGCATGCAGCACTTTTTAAGGAAGAGGTTCACGTTTGTGATGCAACCCTAATTGCTGAAACTTGGTTACTTACAACTGCTTCCTGTTTCCAAGGGTAAACTTATACATGTAATTGATCAATTGTATCATAATGAAACAATGTTTATCATATTTTTGTTAATATAGACAACCAAAAGCAGAATGGTCTGCCAGATTAGGTACAGTACGTCTTTCAAGTACATCACCTTGGCAACAGGAACGTAGGATTGTAGGAATGATTAAATCTCCAGTAGAAGGAAGTACAACTGTTCTGTTAAAATTAGACAGACCTGTAACAACTTATTCGGATTTTGTTAGACCAGTTTGTCTACCATCTGCTCAAGATCCACCATCGACCAATGCATCTCAATGCAATACTCTGGGTTGGGCTAGAAATCGTACGTCATCGTTAGATTTTTTTTAGTTTATATAAACATGTGTTAGTTAAAATTTAAAAAAAAAAAAAAATAAACAATTGTGTAGATCACAATTGCGTAAGAACGTAAAATATCATTTTATCCGACAGATCGAAGGTATTTGTTTGTTAACTGTTTCCTTTTTTTTCCATCTATTAATACTTTCACATATGAAGATAAAGTAAAAGAGAATGTTGTATAATAGATGCTAGTTAATTTCAATGTAACACAACAATAAGCATTTATACAACACGTTAGATAAACGTGTGTGTATATTGAAATAAGTATGAAACGTAACCAACTGGTATACTTATATAACTAACAAGAATTAAAATGTACTTTCATGTATGACACAAAACCTACTACTTGATTAAGATTCAATCATACATTGATTTGATTTCTTACAGAATATTTATATTCTTAGAATAATTTTAAATCAAACGTTTTCTTCTTTTATTTCAGGTGATATGCTTCAAAGAGTACAACTGAGACATAGTGCAATGGAAAAATGTGAAAATATTAGCATTGCATCAGTCAACAGCGTTTGCACCGAACCTGCATATTCTGTGGATGATTGCAATGTAAGTTTTCATTTATTTAAATGTTTTAAAATACTAACCTAATGAAATAGGATAAAGAAAATCATTTTTGAAATATGAAATTTATCAGGAGGAAGAAGTTGCTGGTAGTCCAATGCTTTGTCTACAATCTACTACTCAAACTTGGGCCTTAACAGGAGTTGGTAGTTGGCGAATAGCATGTTCTAAAGCAGGAATTGAAAGACCTAGATTGTATGATCAAATATCTTCTAATATCGCTTGGATTAAATCAACGATTAGTTAAATACCCTCACAATCGTTCTAAATTCCAAAATAATTCATAATTCAATATGAAAGTATTATTCTATTGTTTTTGTTTGACGAAACATAAATTTTGAACCAAACGAAAAAATGAAAACTAACGTAAACGTACTGACATAAAAATTGTGATAAATGTGCCGATAATTGTAACTGTGAATTAAATTGATAACAAACTTTATTCCATATGATTTGAATAATTATTAATTGTTTTTGTTTTATTATTTGTTTTCTAATTTGTTACACGACCAACAGTTCAAATTATCGGCACAAATATTTTAAATCATGAACGATATAGGATTATATTATTATTATTATATTTTTATTTTGTAATTATCTATTTTGCATAATTCGAACACTTGTTGTTGTTTTTTTTTTCTGTCATTTGTCATTTTTCCTCTCTCACTTTCTCTTTTTTCTTTCTCTGTTCGTTATCGAGGTCAAGCAGCAAACATCGCTATTGCCATTAGATTGTAATTTCCTAAACGTACATAGTGATACACGTAGTGATATTACTTAGCATTTATCATTTTAGTAAAAAAAAAAAAAAAAGAAGAAAAAAGAAATAAAACGAAATTGCTAAAAAAAAAAAAAATTCTACTTTACTTTGTACGATTGTAAATAGCAACTGAAAAGTCTTATTATTATATGTAATATCATTTGAAATAAAATTTATTTTTGAATTATCTTTCCGCCCCTCCCGCCCCCCCCCATCTCTCTTTTTCGCTACACAATTTAATTATAATTTATTGTTACGAATTTATATCTTCATGAAATGAAATTTGTCCAATTTCAAAAACCCCTTATCTTATCTTATCTTATTTTATTTTATAATAAATACGAGATATAATCATTAACTCTCATTAGTTGCAATTTTATATATAATTATAAATAAATTCAATGACCGATTAAAATTTGAAAGATTAAATAACACAAAACTAATGAGATTTAAATATAAATATAATAATTAAATATACAGTAGCAGTATTCGTGTTAAATTGTTATAAATAATTATAATTAATTGATATTATATATTAAATCGTATCCGAATGTTCTTATCCTTGGAATGTATGTTTTTTTTTGTTTTTTTTTTTCATTTCTTTTCAATGTAAATAAAATGGACTCACATTGATATAACTAGATATTAATTGCACACACACACACACACATGATGTTAATATAATGCAGTAATGTAGGTGTGTGTCCAAGTGGTGGGAGTTTCGAAGGAGTTCATATTTAAATTGTCAGCTGCTATTTGCTCAGTCGTCTGTTGAAAAACGACCCGATACAACCTGTGTTTTCAAAACTATCAAGTGAAATAATCACTAATTACTACCATTTTATTTCACGCATAAACATGGTAAGACTTTTTTTTTTTTACTAATACAATACAATATTTTAAATATATAAGAAAAATAACTCGCGCGAAAAATTCGTGCCGATTAACAATGTTGCAAATTCCAACTAAAAAAAAAAAAAAAAAATGAATTTAAATTGAATGGGGGTGAATGTTTTTACTTTGAAATTTTACTTACGATTTAAAAAAAAGAAAAAAGAAAATGTGTGACGAATAGTTGAGGTTTAGAAATTTCTAAACCACATACAAGTTGCACCATGATTTTTTTATGCTTGTAACTTGATTATAAGTATCACATTCACTTGTCATAATAGATCATATTTTTATTTTACTTATAGTTGAGAACTGTACAAGATATTGTACTGAAACTTTCCATACAACAAGGTTATAATTATCATAATACCAAATTATATAATATTTTAACACGTTTACATGTTTTGTCAAAGGATACTAAAGTAAAGGAAGAATTTTCGGATTTATCAAAAATCGATGGGATAGTCGATGATCCATTGGATCTTTTTAAAACATGGCACAAGGAATCAAGAAAATATAAATATAACTTGCCTGATGTTTTCTGCCTTGCCACAACCTCCAAGTAAGTATTTGTAATATGATTCATGAATTATAAATGAAATGAAATAATAAAACTGATGATTATAATTTAACAGGGATAATCAAGTTGCTGCAAGGAATGTTGTTCTTAGAGAATATGATAACGATGGTTTTGTACTTGTCACTGATCAACGTAGTAGAAAAGCATCAGAATTGGTAAGTATTATTCATTTGAATATAAAATTAATTTTCTATTATATTTATTAATTATTGAATTAATTTATTTCATAAAGGATAGCGTACCAAGGGCTGCACTGTGTTTCATATGGCTTTATATAAATGATAAAGGACAAAATATTGCACGACAGGTGACACTTTGAATTTGTTTAACAAATTTTTAATAATATTTAAGGTGTTCCAAAAATTGCTTGACCATTTAGGATGACAAAGATAGTTTCTATCTTGAATTGATTAATAAACTATTACTTAGTACAACTTTTGGAACATCAGTATCAAAATTGATGAATAAATTTGTGCAGGTAAGAGTTGAAGGTCCAATAAAAAAGTTAAAGCGATCAGAATTTAAACACATTTACGATAGAGAACCATTATTTTGCAAAATTCGATCCCATTTGTGTCATCAAGACCAAGAAGTTGATTGGGATGAGTTAAAACGAAGACACGATCAAATTTTGGGAGAATATCAAAGAGGAGAAAATGAATTACCAATGCCTGATCACTTGTACGTTCATTTTTTGTTTGAATTTTGTATAAATTAAGGTTCATTTTATCAATAGAAATTTATTTCAGTATTGGATATAAATTATTACCGACTATGGTGGAATTTTATTATGCAAGGGATGAACTTATAGGAGACAGGGTGCAATACAACAGAAACAACTTGACCGAATCATGGCAACATCGTCGATTGGCTGCCTAATATTCAAATACATATTTAATAATTAAACTACACTTTCATTATTATTTATTTCTTTTATCACAATTACTGTCAAAAAAAAGAGAAGAGACAAAACCATGACGAAGAATAAAATTTGTTTCAGAATTATTTGTTCATTCTCAACATTTTTTGTTTTTGTTTAAATAAAACTACACATATTTATCATCGTGTAATAATAATAATAATTATTAATGACAAGAAAATAATATATTATAGGATTTAAATAGATTAAAATTGACCTGGGTTATCGATGAACGATAATACAAAACATAAATGTACTTTCATTTACATAAACTATTTTGTATGAACTTGAAATCTCAGAAAAATTCTTGAAGATAAAAAAAAATTATGCAACCATTGCACACACAAGATAAACAAGATAAAATCATTTTATAATCTTCAATTATTATTGAAACTTGCAATACCAATCCGGAGTTAATCAACCAAACGATTCAAAAGTAGCGCGTTAAAAAGGGTTGGCTTGCGCATTCTCCAACGATTCGAATAGACCAATCAAACGATCTTCTTCAGCACAGTAGAAATGTAGATTGGGTTAGTAGTATTCCATGAAATATAAGCTTCCGGTTAAACCAGTGGTTCCCAAACTTTTTGGTCTTACCACCCCCTTTCCTAAAACAAATTCCTTTACAAAGACAATGTTCCAAGTCTTAATTTTTCACCATGATCGTATTAAACACCCCCCTGAACCACTTCATCACCCTCCAGGCCTACCAGGCGCGAAGATAAGAAACCAAAAAGCCTAAATAAGGGGATTTCTTTCTGATATTTTGTTACTATTGACACAGTATCGAAATGCCGGCATTGTGTAGCACAAACAGCAGCACGGGTCGGCCTCAACTGACATTTTTTCCTTTTTAGTAGTTCATTTCTCCCACTCTCAAACTTTACTTTAGTCGTTATCACCCCTCTGGACCTAACAATTGCTCACCAGGGGGCGATATTAAACACTTTGGGAACCACTGCGTTAAAGCCGGTAACTCAGCAATGTTCTTGAAGAAACCCACCAGTCAGACCTGATACATGATAGTGCGTGTTATAATCAGCAACACGTGCATCATTGTTTAACGTCTTTCTTCTTTTTTTTTTTTTCAAAACAAAATGTCCGAAGAACCGGCTAAAATGAAGGACAATTTCAATGCTTATATTATCTTGGAAGATGGAAGTATTTTTCCGGGAAAACGATTCGGTGCCGAAATATCTGTAGACGGTGAAATCGGTGAGAATTTCATTGAACACGTGTTTACTTTTTAAACCTTTTGTCCAACTCGTCTCCCCCCCACCCTCTACCCCCCCCCTTCGATACATTCTCACGTTTTTTTAAATAATATCGAAATAATTCTTTGTAATTATTATTGTATTCTATCAGAAATCAATCATATCATTCATTTTTATTTTATTTTAATTGTATTGTATTTTATTTGTTCATTATAGTTGTAAAAATGTTAAAAAAAAAAAAAAGAAAATTTTAAAAATGAAATTTGCTACATTTATTATTGATAATATTGGACGAGGTCAAATAAAATAGTTTGCTGATAATAATTAAGCGGCGTGTTGTTATCATATGTAGACTTTCAAATGACCACGTGGACCTTGCATCTTTGTCTTCATTAAATACGATCAACTAACTGTCTCGATATTCATTGCCCTTAGGGTCAATAAATATTACCATTAATAAATCGAACTAACACTTTAACTGTTCATCAAAAACATTTTTCAATTCCCATATTAATATTGTTTTGTTTATTTACTACTATAGGAAAGATACGATACAGATTAAATAGATATTTATTTAATTGACACCCTGTATTAACCAAATAAAATAAAATAAACTATTTACTCTTTAGTAATTTATTTCTTTTTTTTTTTTATAATTTATAGTGTGTACAATAAAAAAAAAATCGATAACAATAAATGATTAATAAAATTCTTACAATTGAAAATATTATTTTCCTACTTTAAAAAAAAAAAAAAAAAAAAAAAAAATCTGTTATGCAAGTCGTGAAAGGAAAACTACAAATTTCTATTCAACTTCATGTTTATTTAACGAGTATGGTTTTTAGTATTTCAGACCGGTATGGTGGGTTATCCCGAATCTTTAACTGATCCTTCTTACCATGCTCAAATTTTGACACTTACTTATCCACTAGTGGGTAACTATGGCGTCTTTGGAGATGAAAAGGATGAATACGATATACCATAGTAAGTGTGAATGCATGTCCTATGTGTGTGTGTGTGTGTGTATTCAAATAAAAAAATGGATAGGGTGAAGAATGGTCTTCTGTGTATTGTACCACTCGTTTCAGTAACCCCTCTCTCCCCGATCCCTTTTGTCCCCATTGAGTTTCTATTACGATTGTATTAGAATAAAAAAAAAAAAAGAAAAAAAAATACAAAAGAACCGAAAAATGCTTCAACTTGTTTTCCCCTCCACTATCCTGTATCGCTCAATGATATTTAATATTGTTTAGTTGCATAATTGGTAATCTGATTTTATCGTTATCAATAGAATTGTGTAAACAAACTAATAAAAAAATTGTCTTTTTGATAACTCCTACTATCGCGATTAAAGTACGATATGATGAAAATTGTATTGAATTGAATTTACAGTTGGTTCGAATCAAATCGAATTTGGGCGGCTGGTTTGATTGTTGGGGAAATTTGCGAAACGCCAAGTCATTGGCGTCAAAAGAAAAAACTCTCGCAATGGTTGGAAGAAGAAGGTGTGCCTGGTATTTATGAGATCGATACTAGAGCTTTTACAAAGATTATTCGTGAGAAGGGTTCCATATTGGGTAGAATTGTAATAGGGAAACCCCCTTCTTCCAGTATTTTACCCGTCGAACCACCATTGCTAGATCCAAATAAAAGAAATCTCGTTGCTGAGGTTTCACGTGTAAGTTTTCAATCAATAAAATACGTTTATTCTAATTGTAACTATCTAAGTTTATGATAAATCATTATCTTTTTTTAGGCATCACCAAGAACGTACAATCCTAATGGATCACCCCGTATATGTGTAGTTGATTGTGGATTAAAATACAATCAATTGAGACGATTGTTAAACCGTGGGGCTCGAGTAGACGTTGTCCCATGGAATTATGATTTAAAAAAGGCCGAATACGACGGTTTGTTTTTAAGCAATGGACCTGGTGATCCAAGCATGTGCAAGACCACCATTGAAAATCTTTCTAAAGTTTTGGAAAGTCCGAATAAAAAGCCTATTTTTGGTATATGCTTGGGACACCAGTTACTTTCGATAGCTGCTGGTTGTACTACTTACAAAATGAGGTACACAAATTATTACAAAACTCTAACTATACAGTTATGAATGTATTATTACAGAAAGATTATGTTTTTTTAATTACCATTTGCATGCAGTTACGGTAATCGAGGTCATAATCAACCAGCAACTCATCACGGAACCGGACGTTGTTATATGACTTCACAAAATCATGGATTTGCAGTAGACGCAAATAAATTACCTGACAATTGGGAAATCCTATTCACCAATACCAATGATAAAAGTAACGAAGGTATCGTTCATTCAACGTTACCATACTTTTCCGTACAATTTCATCCAGAACACACTGCCGGTCCGCAAGACTTGGAATGTCTTTTCGATGTCTTTTTGGATACTGTAATAGACCATATAAAAGGTCATCCACAAATAACTGTCAAAGACAGGCTTAATGAAAAGTTGCAATTTAAAGCACCGCAATCGATAGATAAATTTCATCCAAAAAAGGTTCTTATTTTGGGATCGGGAGGACTTAGCATTGGTCAGGCTGGAGAATTCGATTATTCTGGTTCTCAAGCGATCAAAGCATTGCAAGAAGAATGTATTCAAACACTTTTAATTAATCCCAATATTGCAACAGTACAAACCACCAAAGGAATGGCTGACAAAGTTTACTTTTTACCAATCACTCCAGAATACGTTGAACAAGTGAGTCAAAATATGATTCATTCAACTTTCCATTGTGTTTCTATTAACACGTTGTCAACTTGTTAATAATATTACTGGTATATTTAAAAAAAAATATATTTGTCATAGGTAATACGTTCTGAAAGACCTGATGGAGTATTACTAACATTTGGTGGTCAAACTGCATTGAATTGTGGAGTTGAATTAGAAAGAACCGGTGTATTTGCAAAATACAATGTTAAAATTTTAGGCACACCTATCGAATCGATCATACAAACGGAAGATCGAAAAATATTTGCCGAACGTATCGGTGAAATTAACGAGAAAGTTGCTCCAAGTGCAGCTGTATATTCCATCAAGGAGGTAAATTAATATTACGACTTAAATAATATAATTATGTTAGAATTCTAAGAAAAGAAAAAGCTGATGATTCATTTTATTTACCCAAGGCTTTAGAAGCAGCTGAGATACTTGGGTATCCGGTTATGGCAAGAGCAGCGTTTTCTCTCGGTGGTCTTGGCTCAGGTTTCGCTAATACGCAAGAAGAATTGAGAATTTTAGCTCAACAGGCGCTAGCTCATTCTAATCAACTAATCATAGACAAATCTTTGAAGGGTTGGAAAGAAGTTGAATACGAAGTAGTAAGAGATGCTTATGACAATTGTATCGCAGTTTGCAATATGGAAAACATCGATCCACTTGGAATTCACACTGGGGAATCAATTGTTGTTGCACCTAGTCAAACCCTATCGAATCGGGAATACAATATGCTTAGAACTACAGCTATCAAAGTTATCAGACATTTTGGAATAGTAGGAGAATGTAATATTCAATATGCTTTGAATCCAAATTGTGAAGAATATTACATCATTGAAGTAAATGCAAGATTATCAAGAAGTTCTGCTTTGGCTAGTAAAGCAACTGGTTATCCACTTGCTTATGTTGCTGCTAAATTAGCACTGAGTTATCCTTTACCTGACATTCATAATTCTGTAACTGGAAGAACGACAGCTTGTTTTGAACCTAGCTTGGATTATTGCGTTGTCAAAATACCAAGATGGGATCTAAGCAAATTTCATCGAGTCAGCACAAAGGTTTGATTACAATTCTTTACTTGTATCTTGTTTTATCAATTAATCATTTACTTCTATTTTTTTTTTTTACTTAGATTGGTAGCTCTATGAAAAGCGTAGGCGAGGTAATGGCAATTGGTCGTAAATTTGAGGAAGCTTTCCAAAAAGCATTGAGAATGGTTGACGAAAGTGTTAATGGTTTTGATCCTTACATCAAATGTGTCAACGATGAGGAATTAGAAAAACCTACGGACAAGAGAATGTTTGTTTTAGCTGCTTCCATAAAAGCTGGATATTCCATGGATCGTTTGTATGAACTAACAAAAATAGATCGTTGGTTTTTGCAAAAAATGAAAAACATAATCGACCTATATTCAATTTTGGAAAGTACCGATCATACAAAAATACCGCATGAAGTTTTATTACGTGCAAAGCAAATTGGATTTTCTGATAAACAAATAGCCACAGTTGTTAAGAGTTCAGAACTAGCAGTGCGTATACAAAGACAAGAAAATAATATCAGACCAATGGTTAAACAAATAGATACAGTTGCAGCTGAATGGCCAGCGACTACGAATTATCTTTATTTGACTTACAATGGTACCACCCATGACGTAGATTTTCCTGGGGGTTATACCATGGTTATAGGTAAGGAAATATGATTAGTTATTTTCAATTGAATTATCTTTTATTAATTAATTCCAATTTGTTCAGGTTCTGGAGTATACAGAATCGGCAGTTCTGTAGAATTCGATTGGTGTGCTGTAAGTTGTCTAAGAGAACTACGAAATTTAAATCGTAAAACCATCATGGTTAATTATAATCCTGAAACAGTGAGTACGGATTATGACATGAGTGATCGTCTGTACTTTGAAGAAATTTCATTTGAAGTTGTAATGGACATTTATGACAATGAATCACCAGAAGGAATCATTTTATCGATGGGTGGACAATTGCCAAACAATATTGCTATGAATCTTCACAGACAACAAGCTAGAATACTTGGAACTTCACCAGAATCTGTGGACGGTGCAGAAAATCGATTTAAATTTTCTCGTATGTTGGATGGAATAGGAATTTCCCAACCCAGATGGAAAGAATTAACTAATCTCAAATCTGCAATAGAATTTTGCGAAGAAGTTGGTTATCCATGTTTAGTACGACCATCTTACGTTTTAAGCGGTGCTGCTATGAATGTTGCACACTCCAATCAAGATTTAGAATCTTATTTGAAAAGTGCCAGCGAAGTTAGCAAAGAACATCCCGTTGTAATATCAAAATTCATTTTAGAAGCAAAAGAAATTGACGTGGATGCTGTAGCTTACGAAGGTTTGATTTTATGCATGGCTGTTTCTGAACATGTCGAAAATGCTGGTGTACATTCAGGAGATGCAACTTTAGTAACACCCCCACAGGATATCAATGCAAAAACATTGGCAAAAATTAAATCAATTTCTAAAGCTATTGCTGCATCGTTGGGAGTAACTGGTCCCTTTAACATGCAATTGATTGCTAAGGTAATCCAATGATAATTTACAAATCATTTCTAATTAAAATTTTAAATGATACTTGATAAAATGAATCATCATAAGCTTCCTCTAATTGGGATAGAAAGTGGTGTAGGATGAATATTATTTTATGGGTAGGAATTTTAGGTTAGGACATGATTTCTCCCAATAATTGGAAGTGGGAGAAAATCATGGCTCGCGTAGGGCAGGGTCGCATCCCTGAAGTAGACCCTGTTTGCTATAATTGCAAATAGTGTCTACCCGCTACCCCTATAAAAACTCCCCTATTACAAAATAAAAAATAAAACTACAATTATCTATTTAGGACAATGAATTAAAAGTAATAGAATGCAACGTAAGAGTTTCAAGATCTTTCCCATTCGTTTCCAAAACTTTGGATCATGATTTTGTTGCAATGGCAACACGATTGATAGTTGGTGAATCAGTTGAACCTGTAGATGTTTTAGCTGGGTGTGGAAAAGTTGGTGTTAAAGTACCACAATTTTCATTCTCTCGTTTAGCAGGTTAGTATCAACTGCAAAATATACTTTTAATCAAAATGAAACATGGGTTTTGTTTTAAATTTTATGTGGTCAATAGGTGCTGACGTCATGTTGGGTGTTGAAATGGTATCGACGGGAGAAGTTGCTTGTTTCGGAGAAAATCGTTACGAGGCTTATCTGAAAGGAATGATGAGTACCGGTTTTCATATACCACAAAAAGGGATCTTATTATCAATAGGAAGTTTCAAAGTAAGTTTAGATCTCTTGTAGAAATATATAACTTATCTTAAAAGTATGACTAATGGATTGAACTTTGTTTCATTTCAGCATAAAATGGAATTATTACCAGCCATTAGTAGTTTACACAAGATGGGCTACAATTTGTATGCTAGCATGGGCACTGCTGACTTTTATACTGAACATGGAGTCGAGGTATGTTGATAAAGAATTTATTTTATTGACACTTAGAAAATATTTAAGATATTTTGAAATTGTTCAGAGACAATTAACTTTCGTCGAAAATATTTATTTACATCTTATACTTATACACACACACATATATATATACAAATTTTAATCCTAACATTTTTTTTTTTTACAAATTTATATCATTTTATGTAAAAATAATTATTAATACTTATAATATTATGCACATACACACACACACACACACACAAAATATATATTGGCAGCATCGAGCAATATTATTATTAATTATTCAAATGAACAACAGTAAATTAATGATATAATTTAATACAATTAAATGCTAAACCGATTAATCTGCTTCGTCATAAATATTATATTAAATATCGAAAATTACGTCGAGTATTAATCCCGTTCGTAGAATCATCATTATTTTCTAAAATAATCTAAAAAGAATAAATATCAAATAAGCATTGCATCCAATTGAAATCTATAGTCCTTGTTTAATAATTTCAAAATTAAGCCATATGCATATCTAAGAACACTGTCTTTTATTAAATATAAGTTGTCTCGGATAAAAATGATTCATTTTCATTTTCTACAAGTGATACGACACGCGGTGGAACTACTTCTATTTGTTTATCCCTTATTATCGTCAAACTTTCCTCATCATTAATCATTTCATTTGTAACAGATGGTACTTTTTTACTAAAAGTTGAACCTTCTGAATCTGTTGAACTAGGAGTTCGCTTAATTGGGCTAGGTACTTTGTTTATTGGGCTTGGTACTCGCCTAGTGGGACTAGGAACATTGTTCGGACTGGATACTCGACTAACTGGAGTGGGCATTTTGTTTATCGATGTAGGTGTTCTCCTAACAGGATTGGACGTTTTATCTATTGAACTGGGTACTCGAGGAGTTGGAATCATCGGAGCAGGACCACGTGTTGTTCTCGGTGGTGACGTAGGTGTTCTTGGTCTTTCTTGAATCATTTCTTTCGTCACAGAGGCTGAATCATACGTATGATCCTCCATGTTAAAAGTTTCGGATTCCTTTGGTGATAATTCTTCTGGAGATTCTGTAGTGAAACGATTTTTCAACTTCATAGTAAAGATCGGTTCTCCGGTTTTTTTTATCGGTTTAACTTGCGGCATATTTTCGGGTTTCGAGTGATCCTCACGCCTTCTAAGGACCTTTATTTTTTCACGATACGCTTTGGCATCTTTCTTACACCTTGGATATTCTTGAAGAAGAATGCTAAGTCGTTCTGCATGATCCAAGTAAATAGCCTTTTGTTCAATAGCATGATATTGATGGAAACGTTCGCCCATTTTGATAAAATGACTGATGAAGAAATCCAATAATGCACAAAGTCTTATCCCGTCCAAATCAGCACACTGTACCTGATAAATACAATGCCAAATTGTTCTTATAAAATCACGAATAACGTAAACAATATTAACATTTGTAATATCAATGCTTACCGAGATTTCTATAACCGAATCTGTAGCTTTACGAGGATTGATCAAGGTTTTGTTAGTAACAGCTGGTCTGTTCGCATAAATTTTCTGCTCGTCCACGGTCCGACTAACATTTCTAGCGTTCAACCAAAACCCACCTGGTCTTGTTTCCGTGTACACGGGTTCGCTGGCTTTCCTTGTACTGGATTCATCCTCATTCGTTTTAGACAAAGGTTTAGGAATATCTCCAGCTAATGCTGGGTTAATCAGCGTCAATGCATTAGCAGTAAGAATATTTAACAGCGACTCGAAATTTATTTTAGGAAAGAACTGTTGACTATACTTAACGTTCTCCATTGCATGGAAGACGTACATAATCGGATTCTCGAGAATTCGTTTGAGCTGTTTCTGAGTGTGCAATAAATGCTCACTTGGTATTCTTTGAAAGAGATTCTTGTCTCTGATAAAATAATCCGATAGAGTCGGTTCATTTTTACTAATACAATAATACATAGATTGCAATAATTTAATGAGACATTCACCAGTCCGATTGTCTGGCCATTTAGATGGTCTATCATTTTCTTCTATCATCCAAAACATTCTATTCCTGATGTGAGACGTGGTAAGACCAAACATCGAATCAAATACCGGTCTGATAAATGTCTTGTGCAAAACCAAGGCCATCAAATAAACTTGTATTTGAGCCGATGTCATACAAGTTTCTAAATATCTCTCAGCAGCAGGAAATGTCAATTGCCATTCAAGATCCTGTTGAGGATTGATACCCTTTTTCGGTGTAAATCCTTCCGGTACAATGTAACATCCTAAATCTTTGATCATTCCAATTTCATCGTCGGTAGGCCAAGTACTACGAGGACGATCCAACCATTCCTTAGCACCTTCAGGCCACTGGGACCAAACACTTGGTATGATCTCATAAGGTTCTATCATTGTGAGTCTCGACATGTGTGATACTATAACTTTGTCGTAATAAATAATAGAACCCTCTGGTCTTCTATCATCCACTGTTTCACGATCGAAACCAAAAACATCTGTTAATTGATGAACAAAAACACGAAAGAAGTGTTTCATAAAGAAAAGACTGCTAACGTAAAAGACATTGTAATTGTAACGTCTGAGAAATTGTCTTATTCTTTTCTGTTTGTTATTCATCGGATATCTTCTTTCCTCTATAGGATCATAGATTTTCCCTTCACTGGTATACGTAACCTTTTTGAAACATTGATTAGGTATTTGATTTCTATCAGAATCACCGTCCATATTTTTCGAACTGTCAGCAGTGCCATAAAAATCGTCAGAACTTCGGCTTAAATTACAGGTATGAGTGCAACTGCAATCACTGTCACTGTCGAGTACATAGTTTCCAGATCTGTAACCAGAACTGGTACTACTGGCACGACTATTTTGCGAATACATTTTTGATTTGTGATGATGTTTGATGTTTTTCCTAACATTATCACCTCGATTAAGATAACCATTATTTCTCGGAGGTGGTTCAGGTGCACGATATGATCTCTCATCGATCAAAGAATCAACCTTGTAATGATCTGATTCATTCTTTCCTCGATCATGTGAACTACTAGATCCGTACATGGTACTATCCTCGTAAATATTAGGTGAGGAACTGCTATGTCCAAATTTGGATGATTGCAAATTATTTTTCGATTGTCTATTCAAACCAACTCCTCCATTTCTTGAATATTTTTGACCGTAGAGACTGTCACCGTCGCTGTAAAATCCATCGTCATTTTTTATCGATTGTTCCTCTGCTATAACTTTCTTCAAAAGAGGTGTCTCTTCTTGCAATTGTAATTTCACGTAACCTGTAATTATTAAAATACAATTAAGCCATTGGGTTATTAATACTATAAATGGTCTACCAACCACTGTGTTTGCTTTGTTTCAAAACCATGCTGTATGTAGAGGAATCATTCATAGGACTATAAGTTGGATCATCCTCCTCAATAACTTCAACATTGTCGTGTACCACATAAATTCTAACGGGTTGCAATGGTTCAATGGTTGGACGAAGGGTTTGTCTCGACGAAAGAAAACCAACATTTTTTGCTATTTTTTCCTGTAGAACATCTGGCAATAAAACATGTTTGTGTGGTGCCAAACGTTCGTTCAATTCTACTTCACGAGACGACACCAAAGTTTTTCTAATACGCTGAATATCTCTGAAAAACAAAATTAATTTTATTAATTGAATCTCGCATTTATTTTTGCGAGAATTATCGCAACTTCATATCGGCCATATTGTTTAGTACGTCATAGAGATCATCGATTAGATTAATCCAAGTCAGATACAGTCGTACAATTGGTATCAATATGATTTCGTGGAACTCTTTTTTTTTCTTTTTATAAAAATGCAAAGTAGATATAAATAAGGGGAAAAAAAAACAATAAAATATATGTGTGTAAGTCTTTAGAAAATAATAATTGATTATTACTCAATGCAAAATTTGGTTTTGTTTCGTTGCAATAATTTACAATGAAATTTTTAATATATATATATATATATATGGATGACGTTGTCACAAAAGAATGATGATCGATAAAGAGTAGTAGCCTAAATTATCGTATCAGTGTTAGTGATATAGAAATTACACGATTATAGATAAATCTATTAATGCTTGACCGTTTTAGAAACATGACGAAATATACGACCGATCAAAGTCTCCATTTAGTCAGCAATTCAATTTCATCATACAAATTATTAATACAAATAAGATTTTTCTTTCTTTGATTCAAGATGTGTCGTGTTTCATAATATTTCAACATTATTTTTATATATTTCTAACACTATTGTTTAAATTATAAATGTTTAAAAATCGTTCAAAATTAAAAACATATGTTCACAAAAAAAAGAAACTCTTTGATACAACGTAGTACCAGAAACGTCAAATCATTAAAAATCTAATATTTTATTGTCATAACATGTCAAGTACCATTATCCACTTTATAAACAAACAAAAAAGAAGATAATTGCTTACTTTTCATAATTCTCAAAGAATTGTATGCACATCATAAGATTATTAAGTACAAAGTATTGCGGTTGATTCCTGATTGATCTTCTAAGCCAATCCATTTCCACATCATCCTCAAAGAAATCATCATCTTCCAATTCCGAATGACGACTTTTGACTTTATCATCGCTAACTTTTTTCTTCGGTTTTCCCGATCTTCTAGACTTGATGTTACCCATTGTCACTTCTTGAAGGAACTCTTACTAAACCCCGATGATGAGTAGTCAATCGATAATCGTTAACGAGTTACTGATAATCTTTTACAAGGGTGGAGGGAGGTGATGAAAAATGTTGATCAAAATGGGGGATTAATTGGAGTTACCCCTAATCGCGGAACACGTTTGTTTTTGTTTTTGATAATAAACAATTGAAGAGTCAAAAACACGTATCAAATTATATTTTAATTAGCGTTGACCATTAAAGGTACGCTTTAAATGACAACAATGATCATTAGTGTTGATCATTGTACACTAAAAAAAAAAAAAAAAACTAAACGATTTTGTATACTCAATACTGACCGAAGATCTGTGAGACAGTAGTCTCCTATTGGTTTCCACCTGCCGATAAATAGCTATCTCGTTATCGAACAAACCCAAGTGAACGTTTTTAATCCCAGCCTTTTACTATCAGTTATCGACAAGAATGTAAAATATTAAAAATGTCGATGCCTACCTTGCCCCGTTTCCTTTGTCATTGAATTGCATGCTATTTTTCCGATATAGAAAATATTTATTCATTACAAAAGGATCTATTTTTCTTTCTTTATAATTATCTAAAGAAATATTAAACAATTAGATTATACGCTTTAATTGTATTACATAATTACGGTATCGGTTATCAACAAATCATCTGGATTATTAAAGTAAAGTAAAAAGAAAAAAAGGGGTGTGACTACTTTATCGCAATCACGTGAATTGTAAATTATTCTACAAAGAGATAAATAACAAAAAAATGTTCAACTCATTTTTATATAAATGAATTGAAAGGTTCAGGATAACAGGATAACAATAATTAAATATCTTTCCATTTGATGATTAATTACTGAACTAATTATCCTGACGTCACGTGCAAAAATACCAAAGATTAAAATAACAATCGTTATCTAATCTTTCCCTTAACCCTTATCACAATCGTATCTGATTACATCTATATATTCATTTTTGGAAAAAATAATATATACAATTATTTTGCATTTGCAACAATGCAATAAACAAATCCTATATATATATATCAAATATCGATAAAAGTATTGCGTTATTTTCAAAGAAAAATGAAAATGTTTTACGTTTAACAATTCACATTGAAATATTATATTATAATTATTAATCATTAGTTAAGTATTTTTTCTTTTACTTATCATTATATATTATCTATAACGATTATCGTATCGATAAGAACCAATAATGTTAGCCACGTTTTCTTAGCATAATTTCTAATAAAAACTAAACGATCATCTAAAATAATCATCATCAAATTTTATTTATTATAAAAGAGAGATGTTTATAAATTTAATCATTATGATTAAATTTCGTTTTTTTTATGAATATTTTTACAGGTAGAACCGGTGCAATGGACTTTTGAAAATATCGGAGTTAACGAAGACTCCAGTCCAAGTGAATTGAGACATCTTGCCGATTTTCTTTCCAAAAAACAATTCGATCTCGTTATTAATTTGCCAATGAGAAATGGCGGTGCTAGACGTGTGTCAAACTTCATGACACATGGTTATCGTACCAGAAGATTGGCGGTAGATTATTCAGTTCCGCTTGTCACAGATGTTAAATGCGCTAAACTTCTTGTTGAGGTAAATATACATCATATTTATATATATAATACTAATTACTACCATTTTGGTATCAATCAAACAATACCAATTCAGAATATAAAAAGTAATTTAGTGTATGTATATATGGTTTTTGATTTGTGTTAATTTAATAATAACCATAGAAACATACTTCATTCGAGTCAATTACTTTCAATTGGTTGGAAAATAAGTAAGAAGTTTGACTTTGGACGATGACCGATATTCTAACAAAATTAATCTCTGTGAAGTAAAGTATCGAAATAAAACATATATCTATATATATATGTATACCTACACATAAATAAGATTTCACTATAATCTTCAATGTTTTAGTAAATATATATATTAAATATCGAAAGATTAAAGTCCAATCGCATAGCTCGATGATAACGCGATGGTCAATAATTACTTTCTATTAAAAATGTTCTAAAATTGATAATAAATCACTTTTTATTACTGTACTTTCCTTAATTTAATCTGATGAGATCAAATAACTGATTGTATTGAGTACAAATTCGGTGCACTTATTTTCATACCGAACACGTAGATATTAATGACGTGTATTACGTATCGTAATTTAAAAAAAGAAAAAAAAGGAAAGAAAGTGCACAGTGCAATATCTAATCAATATGCTAAATATAATTTTTCTCACGATGAAAATATCAAAGTATTTTGAAAAAGATATTACAAAAATAATACAATTTTTATTTCAAAAGAAAATATCGATCTTTGAAAGAGATATTAAATAAAATACTGGATTGTAAGATAATAAGTAAAATTATTAAAGTACAACTAATTATTTTATAATTTAATTAAGTATTTAATTAAATATATATATAAATTATAATTTATTAAATTATTATTAATTATTAATTGTCATTAGGAACTCAAAAGTTCATTGACTCAAATATTAAATCCCTTCGATTTAAAAATATCAAAAAAAAAAAAAAAATACGAACACATGCAAGATAAGTTCTTGTATTTCTTCTAACGCATAAAACCGTATTATGTTTCATCGTCAAGGAAGATCATATTTAATTGAATGGCGCTTTAATACAATACTCTCATTCATCCCCTCTCTGTTTATGCAACAGGCAATGAGAATATTAGGTGGACATGCACCACGTATGAAAACACACACGGATTGCATGTCTTCACGAAGAATGATTAAACTACCGGGTTTCATTGATGTTCACGTACACACTCGTGATCCTGGTGCAAATCATAAAGAAGATTTCGCATCATGCACAGCTGCAGCATTGGCTGGTGGTATCACAATGATATTTGCAATGCCTAATACAAATCCAGCTGTTGTTGATCATCAGACCTTTGCCTTGGCAAAAGAGGTAACAAATGATAAAAGATTTATCATGTTGACGTTTTACGTAACTAACTTTCATTGTCATCTAACTCACATCATTTTCTATTTATGCACTTGTGTATTATCGTTTAATTAAATATAAATATTATTTTAAAAAAATATCTGTCGTCTACGTTATCAAATCTAATTACAAGGTCGAGTTGAAACTACATGGAAAACTATGAAATAATTAATTAAAGTATGAATTAATTTACAATTTTTCAAAATATGGGTTATTATAATTTTCAATATTAATTTCTATGTTTTTTAATTTGAATTTAGCGTGCAATAGCTGGTGCAAGATGCGATTATGCTTTATTCGTTGGTGCATCATCAGATAATTATAGTACAATACCAGAATTAGCACCCCTTGCTGCAGGTCTCAAAATGTATTTGAATGATACCTACACGACACTACGTCTGCTGGATCTGAACGTTTGGACAAAGGTAAAAAATTAAATCTTAGATTTGATAAAGTGCATACGATGATATTACTCATCGTCCTATTAATCCAAATCGTACCTAATCTCTAATACGAAGAAAAAATAGTTAGAGGTACTTCCCTGATTGCTGATAACGCACGCTAGAAACATCTACAAACCTTATCGTATTGCATATAGATACATACATTCATTTTAAATTACATCGTGTAAGGTAGAATGTTAACCCATTTCAATTCTAATCGTAATGTTAGAAAAATTTAATGAAAGAGAGACAAAAGAAAAGAAAAATATTTGCTAAGATTGCAGTGTCAAGTTGGAAAACATTCTACACTGTATCTCTTATCTAATTTCCTGTTACTGATATCCTAAGATATATAAAGATATAAATATATTCGACAAATATTAACAACAATAATGTTCATTTCTAGCATTTCCAAAATTGGCCTAAGAAATATCCAATATGTGCTCATGCCGAGGGACAAACTACAGCTGCAATTTTACTTTTGGCTAATTTGTATAACAGACCTGTTCATATTTGTCATGTTGCAAGAAAAGAAGAAATTCAAATCATACGTACTGCTAAAGAAAAGGTTCACATTTTTACAAATCTTACTATTTTCTTAACTTGATTAAACATAAAATGTATAATAATTGTTAATAATATTAATGCAGGGTTTGGCAGTAACTTGTGAAATATGTCCACACCATCTTTTCCTTTGCGAAGATGACCTAAAACGAATTGGTGAAAGAAAGGGTCAAGTAAGACCTTGTTTAGTATCTAAAGAGGACCAACAAGCTTTATGGGAAAATTTAGATGTCATCGATTGTTTTGCTACAGATCATGGTAAAAAATAATTAAAATTTTTCATTTTTCAAAACTAACAATTGAACTTTTTCATTTATTTTTGAAGCACCTCACACTGTGGAAGAAAAATTAAGTGAAAATGCACCACCAGGTTTTCCAGGATTGGAAACAATTTTACCATTGTTGCTTAATGCCGTACACGAAGGACGACTTACGATAGAAGTGAGTTCACTTTCAAAATTATGTAGCAGGAAAAAGAAAGTAAAATCTTCAATATATTTCCAAACTATAATCATTTATAGGAGTGAGAAAACGTGTTGGTTTTATCGTATTTCCAACGACAAACATTACTTCGATATCTTTTTATTTTCTAAGATAAATACAGAAGACATTAATCCGATGAAATATCATTGACAAGAAATACGAGAACTATATAATGTTGTTATATATTTTCTTTTTATTCATTATCTCTCTGCTATCATAATTTTTATCATTTTATTCGTCATCATTATCATCCACATTTAGTTTCTTTAATTCTAAACAAACGGTCCTATATTTGACGAATTATTTTTGGAATTGATATAGGAAGGGTTTATTTTATGGGTAGGAATTTTAGGTTGGGACATGATTCCTCCCAATAAATGGAAATGGGAGAGAATCATGGCTCGCGTTGGGCAGGGTCGCATACCTGAAGTAAACTTTGTTTCTGGTTCTAACAAAAACAAAGTTTACCCGCTACCCATTACAATAATTTTATTAAATTTATAATTAAACATTTTAGGAACTGGTTGAGAAATTTTACAAAAATCCCAAAAAGATCTTCAACATACCAGATCAATTGAATACTTACGTTGAAGTTGATCTTGACGATGAATGGGTGATACCAGAAGCAATGCCTTTTAGCAAAGCTCGATGGACACCATTCGCTGGTATGAAAGTTCGTGGATCTGTTCATAGAGTTGTCCTGAGAGGTGAAGTAGCTTACGTTGAAGGACAAGTTCTGGTTAATCCAGGATTCGGTCAGGATATCAGAGAAATGCAAAGGAAAATAAAAAATCAGACTGTTGTAAGTGCACCAACGATTGATGTGTGTGTTAGTAGACCTGGTTCAGGTTTGGATAATCTTTTATCACCTAATACACTCGATCGTAGTGGTGAACTGGAAGAAGAACAATTAGGTAAGGAAATAATTCCTTAATCATTGTTATTATTATTATTATTATAAATAGGCCACATAATTATTGAAATTTGTTTCAGAACAATTTAATCACTTGTTGCAACCAAGCAGTCACAAATCAAACGTTCATTTTGCATTGGACGTTGATCATCCAAAATTACTTGGAGTTCAACGAACAATTTCACCCTTGTCTTTCAGTAGTTCCATACGTCATAAAAGTGATAGTAATACAAATCTACATCTACAATCTACAGCATTAAGTCATGTTACTTGCAATTTGACTGGTCATCATGTTATTTCTGCTGATATGTTTAATAAAGATGAACTTAAAGAAGTGTTTAATCTTGCTGAAACATTCCGAAATGCAGTTCGTAAAGAACGAACTTTGGATTATATTTTAAGAGTAAGATTTTCATTATGAAAATTATATTTAAATAAATAAATCGTGTTAATAGTTATTAATGATTGTAATCATTTTTGATAGGGTAAAGTTATGGCATCTATTTTTTACGAAGCTAGCACAAGAACATCGTGTAGTTTTGCAGCTGCTATGGAACGACTTGGTGGAAGGGTTATTTACATGGATGGTTCTACGTCATCTGTTACAAAGGGAGAAACTTTGGAAGGTTTGTAGATACTACAATTATTTTTTCTTTTCTTTTTTATAAAAATAAGAGCTGATCAATTTTTTATTGTCACAGATTCTGTGGCTGTAATGGCTGGTTATGCAGATGTCGTTGTTGTTAGACACCCTGAACCTGGTGGTGTTCTTGTAAGTACTCATATTTGAAACATAGATATATTTACTTAGAAAACAAACTATCTATTCTGTATAATTAATGTTTTTTACAGAGAGCATCTCAGCATTGTAGAAAACCCTTAATAAATGCTGGCGATGGTATTGGTGAACATCCAACTCAAGCTTTATTGGATATATTCACGATTCGTGATGAAATTGGTACTGTCAATGGTTTAACCATCACAATGGTCGGAGATTTAAAGCATGGTAGAACCGTTCATTCCCTTGCAAGGTTAGTACAATCAAATCAAATTCTAATTTTATAAAACTTATGATACAAATAAAACAAAAATGACTAACATTTGATTGTACTTTCTATTTAAGGTTACTGACCTTGTACAACGTAGAACTACGATATATTTCTCCACCTGGTCTTGAAATGCCTGATCATGTGATGAATTATGTGTCAAAACGTGGAGTATCTCAGGAGAAGTTTACAAGTTTGGAAGCAGCATTACCAGATACGGATGTGTTGTATATGACACGTATTCAAAGTGAACGTTTTGCGACACGGGAGGAATATCAACAGGTAAAAAAAAAAAAACAAATTAAATTACACATACTTTGATTAGGGTACAAATATTGCAATGAACCTAATCATAAAACATTTAATTGCTATAAACGTTCACGTATCTTCTATGATTTACGTGCTTGCAATACATAAGTTTGATCACGTGGTAGGCTAGTCAAATTTCATTTTAGTTGAACTTGTTAAACACATGTGTTCCTTTTGAGATGATGTAATTAAATATTTAATAAGATTATGTAAAATGTAACACGTGCAATTTGAAGTTGATTATGTACTTGTAAAATAAGTGAACGTGCATTATTTTTCTTGACAGGTTTGTGGTCATTTCATAGTGACACCGCAATTAATGTCACGAGCAAAGAAGAAGATGGTGGTGATGCATCCATTACCACGTGTTTTCGAAATTTCTACAGAATTTGACATGGATCCTAGAGCAGCTTATTTTAGACAAGCTGAGAATGGCGTTTATGTTCGCATGGCTCTACTTGCTATGATTCTTGGTCGTATCTGATTCATCCAAGGTAACACTGTCCTTCTTATTAAACCGGACACTCATTTTGTGAGTCAAGGTGAATCAAATTAAGACAAAAATAATAAGAATAATAATAAAAATAAAAAAAGAAAAAGAAAGAAATAGTTCGACGAGGACATAGGAAATCACCTATCCGAAATTTTAATTAGACTGTGATAACGACAAAATAGTAATCGTCAAATCCATGCACAGTATTTTTGTTTCAAACACATTTACACACAAATATTATAATAAATATAAAGAATACAATATTTTTGATACCTAATTGAAATATTTAGTACAGATAATATAAAACAAAATCATTATTCAATGATCATCATGATATATTGTTTTTGTTATATTAATCATTCCAATGAATAAAAATCAAATTTCTATGTAACGCGATATTTGTATAAAAAAAAAACAACAAACACACTTGTGTATGTATACATATATAATATATACAATAACAAAAGGTTACTGACATTTGTATGAATTATTTTTTTTAATAATCCTAATTGAAAGTATCCCATTAAAAAAAAAAAAAATATCATGTGGGTAGATCACACGTGCTAGAAGTGAAACCTTCGAAAAACTAAGTTTAAGTATTTTTAATTAGGCCTCTTAAAAGAGTCTCGTAAACGAGTTCCTTTTTTTATAAACTTTTCTATTTTATTGAAGAATTAGTAAAACTGTATAGCTACATTCCGTCTCATTCTCTCGCTGGCTCAATCCTATATGTTTGTCTCTTTTTCTCTCATTATTTAGTATTGCAGCCGTTTTATAGCTCCGTTACCTGATCGACTGCGTTTATTTACTTTTCAGATCACTCCCATTCTAAAGAAGTTTTCACTTCAAAAATGATTCTTTCTTTAAAATCCTTATTCACTTATCATTCTTATTTTATTATATACTTCAAGTGATAATTAATTTTTGATACTGCCAGTCAGTCAGTCACATCATGCTTGAAGAATGTTTTTTCTATTCATTTCCTGATATCTCATTGCGACAGACATACTTCAACATCACAATTTTCTTCGTCGTTACGTTGAAAAATTATAATTTTATAAATCAAGGACAAAGAACATGAATCCAATACCAACGTTATCTTGAATTGTTTCACGATTTTCTTCCTACCATTTGTACATTCACTTCTATTAAAATTGAAACGTCATTCTACTTGAACGAGTATCTAAACATTTTTCTATTTCAATTAATATCGATAACGATATATACAGTTCTTCAATCTTATTCTCTTATTATTATTTTAATATATATAAATTACGTGTGACGTTGTTTGTTCGCAATGGACTCCAAAACTACTGAACCGATTTGAATAAAATTTTACACACTGTGTGCAGTTTTATTCAACTTGAAAGATAGAATAGTTTATATCTCAATTTATAATCGGTATAAGGTAATTCGTTGACTTAAAGACGTGTGTATCGGACTGATTGTGAGCGGGGCACCCCTAGTTTTGTTATAAATGAAAATAAAAATTGTTTAAAATAAAATATATAAAATTTTACTAATAAATTCATCTTTGTTTTTATAATTAATAGTAATAATACTTATGTACAAATTGTTCTTATAAATATAAATATATGTTAGTATATATATATACAGAATATTTCAAAATTGAATGGAGAAATTATGAAGAAAGCATTTTTGTACGAGATAAAAATGGACCTGGCATATTTCGTACATTAATAAACATTAGTTATTTTTCTTATCCGGAAAGTTTGATTTATATTAAAAATATATTCGAAATTATAAATATAATAATTATTAATAATAATAATCACAATACAATAGAAGTAAACCTTTCTTAAAATTCTAAAAACAATCATAAATACAGTCCACACATTCTTGTAATCTGTCATACGTGATTTGAAACTTTAAATATTATATTTGATCAATAAACATGCACATCAGATCAAAATTCATCTCTCTCTTTCTCTCTCTCTCACACACACATACATGTCTTTTTTTTATTCCTAATTCAAATAAAACAAGGTCAAGACCAAACTTTGTTTTTAATTTTCTTTCACTTACTTCATTTGCAATTATTACTGCAAAATGCAAAGCCAAGACCTCGTTTTTTATGCAGTCATTATGATCATTCGTCAAAGATTTCAAGTAATTGCAATTTTTTTAAATAAATATTAAGTCTCTTGGAAAATTCTGTTCGTTTAGACAAACATTAATTCAATTTTTCGTCACTAGGGGTGACTAAGGCCCCCATTTCTTAAAATGAAATATACGAAAGTTCAAAAGTAATTCAATTAATTAATTGTACAAATTATGAATAATTTCTTTTCAAAAAATGGACAGAATTTTCTGCTAAACCTAATATATATTTTCACTATTAATTTTTTTTATTAACTTCTTCATTAAGGCAATCCCATTTGTTAGGTAATTCGATATTCGTACTCTTTCGTGCTTTTTCAATGAACAAAAAAAGAAAAGAAAACAACAAAAAGCACTGATTTAAAAAAGAGATTACGTCGGAGAAAGTTGCATAAATCACAGCGGGATAATTCACTATGTCGTTCGACTTTGTAAAAAATAGATATAAAATATCCTATGAATATATATCTATTAAGTTCGTTGAAGAAACCCGTTTTTTTTTATTATTATTATTATAAAACAGGATTATTTAAACATTTTTCGTTTCATTTTAAGCGAGCATATCTTCTTTTATTATTTTTTTTTTTTTAATGAATAATTAGCTCATTTGATCGTTCGTATTGTTTAAATAATATAAATAAATAATTAATCAGCCATTAAAAATCAAACTGGCTCAGAGTTGTTGTTGCATAAACCCTCGAGTCAGTTTTCGTTTCTTTTTTATATATATATATATATATATATATATATATATATAATGTGTATCGATTGATTCGAATGAGACTCTTGCAATTTAATTAATCAACAGATGAAAAGGGAATACTTCAATTAAATTAAACTACAGCATCCCTAGTTGGAAACCCCGAATCACTTATGTCATTTGGACACATATCTGAAGCAAATGATTTAACATCGTCTGGTTGAGTCCTTCTCACACGTGACATGTGTGGTATTTTCAGTTTTAGTCTTCTCTTCTTAGGGGTTTCCTTTTTCCTGTTTAAAACAAACGTAATTTATTAAACTACTAAATATCATTTATAATTAAAAAAAAAAAATATGATTGAAGATACGATAAGTAAGTTGAAGAATTAACTCACTGATGTTTGCAATCGATAAAAATTCCCATTGAAAATAAAATAACTATAGTGACGATTAATCCAATTATTATGACGACCAAAGTGACGATTGCATCTTCTTCTTCCAACGTGAGAGTTGCTTCCGTGGTTGACCAAGGAATATCTAAAAAATGTGTTCAATCTCATTTGTATTAGTATTTCAAAATTAAATTCATTGTCTTTTGTAAATATAATAATTAGCATTAATGTTATGTATTATGAATGCATTTAATTAACAAACTTTAGGTGTCACACGATTGACGTCACTCGTCAACGTCATAGACCCTTTTTAAGATAAACAAACGCATCAAAATTTGAACTTTCAAATGACTCGTTGTGCCAAACTGCACGTACGCCCATCATCTAGATGACGTATGGGTGTCAGCATAAAAAACAATTGGAAATAACATCGACAATTTCATTGGAAATATTTCAAGACAATTTCTAGTTGACTAGGTCAAACACACATTGCATTTAAAATTATTATATAAATAATGTAAATATATGTAAGGGTTGTAATTGTCAAAATAATCTATGAGTTTAACTCTTTGATACAATATGAAAATATTTCTACAAAAGATATTATAAATACTAAAGAATTGTTCATTTTAAATCAAATCAAATAAAATGACACTCCTCTCAAGCATTTGAATAATAATAATTATTATTATTATTATTATTTGAATAGAAATTGAGAGCYGTGTGTTACTAGATATTCATTTGTTGTAAATTACAATCGATCTAATTTCAAACATTTTATCTTTTTGATCTATCCATTAGCATAAAAAACAACGGGCGAACGTAATTCTAGTAGCGTTAACGATCGAACATTTTTCTTTTTCTCTTTCACATTGTACAACCATACACCTGCGATTACGTTACTCGCGAGAGTTTGCTATACTCGTTGGTGTCTCTTTCTCTCTGTACGTCTTCACATGTATATATATATATGTGTGTGTATTCACAAGTATAAAGTAGTTAAATACATACATGTACAATCACATGTACAATCACATGTATGGAAGGAAAAGGAAAATGAACGTAGTATAGAAACGATACCAGTCGGTACCTGCTGGTGTGAAAGTTATTCCTGACGGCTAAGGCCGTTCTGCATTTTTCGAATAACGAGACAGACAGCAAGTTGTCTGTTCGCATATAACCATGTAACACATACCATTATCAATAAAATACTTCTACAATAGTACTATCGAACGACCAACTCGAACTTTCAAGGATCTCTCCTAAGCTTTAAACGCATTCAATTAGATGAATGGATTTATAAGATGATAACAAAATATACTTCCCATCTTGCAAATCTATGCAACTTGCTTTTGATTAATCTCCAGTTCCTTTTTTATCATTAATTAAACATTTTCTATTTAACGGTAAACTGAACGTTCTAATCGTTGACGATGAATACAATAAAGTTGTTTCAAAGTAATACAAAGTTAAAGATTACGTTCACTGTGAGGATATTTCATTGTAATAATCACTGATAACGATTCAAGAACACCTTATTTAAAATTAGTATTTAATGACGTGTATATTGTTATCAAACTTTGATTATACTGACTGTAAATTGTGATAATCACGTTTGACTGCAAACGACACTACTGTTTTAATGAATTTACTTTTCAAAATTCTAAGTAAACCTTTGTTATCTTTTTTATTATTATTTTTTTTTTTTTTTTTTTTTTTTTTTTTCTGATGCTCGTTGCAAGCTATTAGGAAAGCGATGTATAAGATGGAGATAGATTTTTTTACGTGAACAAATAGTAGTAAATGTTCATAGAAAATATGTAAATGTATTTTCACTCGAAGTGTACAATCGACACACTTGATAAATTTTCCAGATAAATTTGCTACTCGGTTTTTTTCCTTCTCGTTAAAAAAAAAAAAGAAAAAAATTATGCAGCGTTGTATTTCAATGTAAATTTTTACGTAACAATCTAAACTTCCATTTGGTAATAAACATTCTTTTTTTTTTTTTTTTTTTATTAATACGATTAATGTTATCGAGTGATGATTATTCTTATCAAAAATTTCAGGTCTCAATGTGAATCAAAATCAAATCAATGTGCAATGTTGAATAATTGTATATTAAGTATAGTTTTGATAATCTATTTAATTTATGACTCGATCCTCATAGTCAGTGTCATCAAGTTTATGAGTTTACCAAAAGAAATCTAATCCCTAGAGAAATATATTCTTCCTGATAGTTTAAAATAATCGCAATTTGAAACGATAGGCGTTTTCCGTTCACGCTTTTGCAACAAAGATTATTGGAAGCTTCTATTCACACTGATAAATAATTAATCAAATTTATTATGATCCTAAAAAAAAAAAAATAAAAGGAAGACAAATTTTGGTTTATAATTATTGAAACTTCAATCTTATTTTATAAATTTAATAAAATTTGATTTTTAAAAATATTGTCAGCTCAAATGAAACATCAAATTTGTATTTGTCGTCAATTTTTTTTCGTACTTTGAATACTTTTACGAAAAAAACAAAACAAAATCTTGAAAGATTCATGCAGGAAGTGTATGGAACAATTGGTACCTGTTGATTCTTTTCATACCAATCTCTCTTGACAAATATCACATGGAAACGGGACTTAACTATATATATATCTTTCTTTTGAATAAATGCGATGAAGGACGACGAAACGAGTTTACTATGAAAAAAAAAAAAAAAAGAAAAAATTGCACGTTCCAGTTTCTTCATAAAGTGGCAATGAGAAGAAGAAGTCTCAGCATTTTGATTATACGTGAAAACATTTGTTCATTCAATTGAAACAATTTCGTAAAACTGAGTCAGTTATTTCAACTGATTTTCTATAAGACGACAAAGGTCAATATTTTATCGACGACGTTCGTCGTGCTTTCACCGACATAAGAAAATACTTTTACTACGTCAATGATTTGCTTTGGCAAATCGAAGCACGTTTGAAAACCTTCAACATAATGAAAAACCTCATCTTGTAAAGATGGAAACAAGTATTTCAAGATTTAACTTAATATGCTTTCAAATATCTTTCATTTACTATCGTTATTAAATTTAAATACAAAATAAAATATATATATTATAAATAAATAAAAATTAAATAAAACAAATTGTTATTTTATTTTTCAAATTTAATTTATATTTGAAGAATAAGATAACAATTGTTCACACAAAACACAATATTTACATACAATCCCAATAACTTTCCTTCTTAAATCAAACAAATATCTCATAAATGAAATATTACCACAAATAAATATAAAAAAAAAAAAACAAGAAAATTATTTAAATATTTTACCTTTGGTGGAAGTGGACGATTCATCAGCAACGACGCTTCTCATTTGCGTTCCCATATTTATTTAATAAATTTACTTTAAATGATTAGAAATACAAAAAAATGCGTTCTAAGATGATAAAAAAAAAAAAAAAAAACAAAACAAACTTCTACTTCACTCAAATTTCGGTGATTGAAAAGAAATTAGATAGGCGTGTAGAATTAAAAAGAACAAAATAAAGATAACAAACAAGATTACAATGTATTCAGTATAAATCTTGAATGTGTGTGTTAGTCATATAGGAAGATACGTCAAAGATTATAATAGTTGACCAAATGTGACACGTATTCTAACTGAAATGTTTGAAACCTTTGAAAAGTATCGTCGTCGCGACCGGTTCGAGGTCCTGAGGTAAACTGACGAACGAGCACATGCCTCGGACTAGCACACGATATGCTTCACGTTGAAACTCGCTTTGGTGAAAAGAAGGATAGAAATTGTGAGAATGGTAGAGAGGGAAATACTGAAAGAGAAAGGAAGAAAGAAAGAAAGAAAGAAAGAAAGAAAGAAAGAAAGAGAGAGAGAGAGATAATAGGATTTAGAAGTGGGAGGAAAAGATACGAAAAGCATCAAATAAATGTGTGTGTGTGAATGTGTGTGAATGTGAGTGAGAGAGAGAGAAAGAAAAGAGGAAAGGAAAAACCTCACGTTGAGGTGGTCTGTGAGGATCAACGTGTAAAACTTCCATTCAACATCCAGGACACAGGTATAAACTAGCCAGGTAGGCATAACCTGCCATCATACTTTTCGTACAGTCCTTGTCGAAAATAGTTGAATTTAAAGTTTCGGATTTGTTTCTTATAACTGCAGATTATTATTCATTTTAATTGATTTTTATATCCTTTACAAATATCCTAACACCAATTGTAAATTATTTGCGACAAATGATGTATGGTATTATTTGGCAAATGCAAATGCAATTGCAATTATGATAAAAAGGAGGAAAAGAAATTATTATTAATCTTGATTTCTAAATTATTTGCGATAAATGGTGCTGCATGGTATTATTTGGCAAATGCAATTATGGTAAAAAAGAAATAAAAGAAAAAGTAATTGTGCAAGTAGCTTTTTATCATTTCGCATTATAAATGTATCTTATCGGAATAATAAATGCTTTGTTATACATTGAAAAAGGTGTTTTCAATGTAAATATAAACGTCGTGAGATAATTAATTACACGTGTAATACAATGCTAAAAATCGAATTTGAGTAAAGTTGTTAAGTCGTTCGTTGTTCGTTTCTGATTCCTTTCTCGTTCACGTTTTCTCCTTCGTGTAAGAAATTTCACCATTTTTCATGAATCTTGTCTAACGAATAAAGAAAATGTCTAAATTGGTAGCTACTAAACAGAGAAGTGCAGCAACAAACGTGTTTTCACGTTTGCCATCACTCTCGTTCTTTCAAGACGACGATGCAAGCAAGCACTTAAACAATTTATTTCACTTTCAATAGCTCTGAAATAAACTGTTCGTACCCACTTTAAGATCAATTTCCTGCGACAACGAAACCGGTATTCTTCCATAGATGAGAGACACACAAATGACACGAAAATTCATTCAAATTGTGAAATTTTGTATTCGATTGATTTCAAACGACACGTCAGTCAAATCTTTCCCTGTCACGTGTTATTTGTGAACAAATTTTAATCGATAAATTTAAATACAACATTAATACGATAAAAATATCAAATTTCAATTCAAACCTATTATTTAATATTTCAATCTATCTGCCAGTTTTATAATAAACGTAAGAAAAGTAAGCATCAAATCCGTGCAATACTCCGACAATTCCGCTCATAATCTGCAAATAAAAGAAGATATGATTGTCATACAGCATTTATGAATGATATTTAAATTAAATAAAAAAAAAAAAACAAAGAATTTGGGGAAACTCACGTAAGTTGCTGTCATAGCTGGATAAACATCGAATCCCGGTATTAAATAATATTCCGGTAAAAGAAATAATTTGGTTGAAAATGCGAGATAAGTGGCCGAACTCAGATACAAAAAACTTGCCAATGCGTTGAACATTATTTCCTGTAACACAATATTACCATTTTTCTTTGTTTTAAATGTAAAATTGTAGTGGTTTGAAAGATGGACAGACGAGTAGTAAATACGTTCAATAAGGTTCCAATCGAAATTCCAAACTCAAACTGTCTGCGTGGTATTTTATTTTTAGCCGACGAATAAATATCAAAGTATTTTACATTCCTTTTATTTTTCTTTCTTTCTTTTTTTTTTTTTTTTTTTTGTTATTTCAAAACAATTTCAATCAAAAGAAAGAAATAAGAAACATTAACATAAACGATAACACCTAAGATTTGATTTTATTGATTTAATTAAAATGAAATATTTATCATACGTACGAAAAGTGAAGAACGTATAAGTCTGTAAGATTTTTCAGACAATACGTAGCAGACTAATAATACAGTGGATGTTAAAAAACATGCTGAAGATGTTGTCAAAGATCCCTCAAAGGCAGACCCAATATGCGTGCTATACCTTAGACCATAATTAACTAACAAACTTTGGATCAATCCGCTAATTATCTGCAAATAATTAAGTTCAACGTATATTATTTTTCAACAAAAGAATTTTGTAAATATATTTGTGCTTGAATTTACGAGCAAAAGTTGTTTTACTTCTTTTCCTTAACAATTCTGAAAACTTACATAATTTTAATGACATGTAATAATAATTACATACATACATACATACATACATACATAAAATGTAAAAAAGAAATAATGTTTCTCTCTATTTCACTTAATCTTTAATAATTAACCGTACGCGAACGTCGGATAAGAATCTAAAATTATCCTCTTGTCATTAAAAATCGAAATCGAATAAAGTTAACTCACCGTTTCGCAGACTTTCATAATTCCCGGTAAAGTTTTGAGAAACTCGACGTGTATGCAGGTGCAACATCTACAACAACAACATTCGATACCTCCGGCTCCGTGAGTTCCGGAAGATGACATCCTGATTATCGGTCCTGTAGTGCTTTTACCCATGATCCTTTATTTTAAACTTGATACCACAAATAATAAAACTTCTTCCTCGTGTTCAAATCGATTTATTTTTTAATATCCTTAACGAATAATAACTGAAACGATTTAATTGTTTATTTCGGCTATATTTAATTGATCGATTTATTTACGTGTTGCTTGGCAGACATTGAAGTCGTGTTTAAAATTACTTGCAATTGATTCGATAACCCTCGTCAATTTGATTGTCCTGTAATTGGTTAAATAGCGATTAATTCACGTCATCAAAGGGGAGATTATAAGTGTAGTTCATTGATCCTTTCGTTTCAAGTTACTGATGACAATATTACAAGTTTCATTTGTATCAAAAGTTAATCCCCCAATTTTCTTTTCAAATTTGATAACTTGAAAATGACGAGTTTTTAAGGATAATAAGTTGTTTGACTGCGAAATGAAATTAGAACCGTGACAACGAGATACTTTGGATGAACTGAGGATGTTTCATGAGTTCGTTCACAATGTTAGAATGTCGTTGCACCCCCAACGTTGTATTTAACACGAGAAACCGTCGTCTATTTTTGGCACGTGCCACGAGCCCAGGATGTGAAACCAACTGTCTATGCATACGTCAAAAAAAGAAAACATTCATTAAATTTATAAACAAAACTATCGATAAATTTAAACAACAAATTGTCCTATTTTTCAGGATACATTTTGTTGCAAATTCTTTTTATAATTTTTGTTTCTTTTTTGGTTTTTAATTCTAGGATAAATGAACGATGTATAAATTGTAATGAATGGTATCTATGATTACTATGATAATATGTAACATATATGATTATAAACGACAAAGTAAGAACGTGCAAATATGGCTCGAGATTTACGATGCATGTGTGCATGCACAATGCATTTGAGAAACACCGTATGCATTCCCGTGGTATCATCCTGTGTTCTCTCTTTGTATAACTTTATTAAAACTACTATCACATAGAAACTACGTGCAAATGTACATCCTGCTAATGGTGTTTAAACAGAAACGAAGTTTAATCTTCGTGAGAGAAATAAATACTGACTACTATGGAGAGCTCTGTTTTTGTCTTTTTGTTTGTTTTTTTTTTTTTTTACTTCATTTCATTAAATTTAATACTTTGGGTAATTTAATATCACATCTAAAAGGTTTATTAATATTTCGAAATATGTTTATCAATAAAATATACCGATATTTTGTTTGTATTTATATTAATAAATCTTAGAGTGTAATCTTTAGAATTAATTTAAAAAAGGAATTCCCCGAATCTAACTTATCGACTGTGTTGTAAAATATTTTTCTATCTTTGGATAAAGTAAACAATCTAACTTATCGACTGTAGTGTAAAATATTTTTCCATCTTTGGATAAAGTAGAAATCTATTATATCTAAAGTCATTAATATCTCATATGATAAATCTGTAATTCATTAAGTAGAATTCGTAAATTCATATTCAGTGTCATTTTAACAATTTTTACAATTTGTTAATATAATTTTTAAATAATTAATTTACATTCTACCTTATACTGATACAATTCCTCTTTTACATTTGTAATTAATTTAATCAACGTATGTGTTTACTGTAAAGATTTATATTATGACAAATATTTTAAACAATCTTATAAAATAATTATTTAAAAGAAAATTGTTATATTTCTTCTTCAAGTAAAAATGTCCATCTTTTTAATAAAATATTTATGCATACACTATAAATAAGTACACTTTGAAACATAACACCAGATAGCGTTATTCGATCATTATTCTACTGTATTCCTGTAAAATACAATTATCAGGTATGACGTCATTCATTCTGGATATTAACTAACAAGAACTTATAGTCGCATTAATATATTTGTCATATCAAATTATTTCTTTTTAAAGTAACACCAGGTGATTTTTGTAAACAGTGTCAAACATGAGTTATGGATTTGTCACTTGTGGTCCAAACGAAGCTTTAGTCGTTTCAGGTAATCATTGTACAAATTTCAATTTATTTATCATAAAACTTCTTATTAATTTTCATCACGAGTTACATCAATAATTTCCATTAAGTTTATTGAAAAGATGAATTGAATTAAATTTAATAATTGAACTATGCTATATATATATATATATTTGTAATATGACATAAAAATGTTGATTTTTATTAATAAATTCAATTATTATTAAATTATTTAAATAGAAAGAATAAATTTAATAATTAAATTAATTAATTTTAAGGATGCTGCTACAGCAAACCACTTCTGGTACCTGGTGGCAGAGTATTTGTATGGCCTCTTGTTCAACAAGTTCAAAAGTACGTATTTTAATTGAAAAATTCAAATATTATCTATTAACACTTTCATTATTGTAAATAATACTGTATAAAAATAATTAACCAGTTAACTGTTGTGAATTCTTTGAAAAGTCTCAGCCTAAATTGTGTCCATGACATGATGACTGTTATCTGTCAATTACAACTAACTGTATAGCAATATTTGATAATGAATATAATATATTAATTATTTTTTTACAGAATATCCTTAAATACAATGACTTTACAAGTTGAAAGTCCTACTGTTTATACGTCACAAGGTGTGCCAATATCTGTCACAGGAATTGCACAGGTATTTATAATTAAATCATTACATTTGTCACATATTATAATTAGATAAGTGAATTTGTTTATATTAATAATAATATTGGAATAATTTGATATAATATATGACAGGTAAAAATTCAAGGACAAAATGAAGAGATGTTGTCAACTGCATGTGAACAATTTCTTGGTAAAAATGAAGAAGAAATTCATAATATTGCGTTAGTTACTTTAGAAGGACATCAACGTGCAATAATGGGCAGTATGACTGTAGAAGTATGTAAAATAAATTCAATTTTAAATAATATTAATTATTTATAAATATATATATATACATGTATAAACATAAAACAAATTGAAATCAATATTATTTGTAGGAAATTTACAAGGATCGTAAAAAATTTAGCAAAGAAGTATTCGAAGTTGCAAGCAGTGATTTAGTCAATATGGGCATTACCGTTGTATCTTATACACTGAAGGATATTCGAGATGAAGAAGTAAGTTAAGCTTGTTTCAATTATAATCTATTATTAAATAGGCATAAGACAAATCTGAAGAAGAATTTAAACAAAAAAAAAAAAAAATGGAATAAAATTAAAGATTTTAATCATAAGAAAACATTTTTGAAATTTGTTTGCAATGCTAACTAAAATAACAAAATAAACAAAGTCCCCCTTAAAAAGATAATAATAATAATAATGATAATAATAATAATGATTCTATTAGTAATTGCTATTAATAAGAGTTTACTGTAGTAATTCATAATAATATTGCAAATATTGAATAAATTTTTGTTTTGCTACTTGCAGGGGGCAAAGGTATGTTCAATTTTGTTTTATCGCTATTTGTAATACTTACAAGCACTTGGCTATATCTTCTTCTCTGATGAATAGCACAAAATAATGATGATACATCGGTCAAATGCAAATATCTATGGTGTATTTAGTAATGCTTGCTTTAATTATGCACAATTATTCTGTGCACATATGCTCAAACTTATTTTGTGATTAAACTCTTTGTAATTAATGTATGCATTTACTTTATTGGGGCTTAATCCGGACTAAGCTAATATTATTATATCTGCCTTTAATTGTAATTGTAGAATAAATCTTTGAATATTATTATTATTAAATATTATCTAATTATTTTTTTAGGGATACTTGAAAGCACTTGGTATGGCAAGAACAGCTGAAGTTAAAAGGGATGCAAGGATTGGTGAAGCAGAAGCACGTAGAGATGCTCAAATCAGAGAAGCTATTGCTGAGGAACAACGTATGGCTGCACGTTTCTTGAATGATACCGAAATTGCCAAAGCCCAACGAGATTTTGAATTGAAAAAAGCTGCATACGATGTTGAAGTACAAACAAAAGTAAGATATTAATATGTCTTTAAATTTGTATTCATATCTCTCACAATTATTATTATTATTTATAATTAAATTATTGATTGTAATTTAGAAAGCTGAAGCTGAAATGGCATTTGAATTGCAAGCAGCTAAAACAAAACAAAGAATTATGGAAGAACAAATGCAAGTAAAAGTAGTTGAACGTGGACAAGAAATAGCAGTACAAGAACAAGAAATGATGAGACGTGAAAAAGAATTAGATGCTACTGTAAAACGTCCAGCTGATGCCGAAAAATACAGGTAAGTTGATGCTGATTGCAAAACAAATTTTAAAAGCTTACACATGTGAAATAATATATTTTTGCAGATTGGAAAAAATGGCAGAGGCAAATAAATTACGTCTTATGATGGAAGCCGAAGCTGAAGCGGAAGCTATTAAAATTCGTGGAGAAGCAGAAGCTTTTGCTATCGAAGCTAAAGCTAAAGCTGAAGCAGAACAAATGGCGAAGAAAGCTGCAGCATGGAATGAATACAAGAGTGCAGCTATGATAGACATGATGTTGGACACACTGCCAAAGGTAATATATTGTTTTGTCATTCTATTAACTACATTATTTATTTGTTAAAAAGTAAATTATTATACTAACTGTATATTTATCATCAGGTTGCCGCTGAAGTAGCTGCACCTCTTTCACAAGCCAAGAAGATAACCATGGTATCCAGTGGTAATGGAGCTGTTGGTGCTGAAAAATTAACAGAGGAAGTATTTAACATTGTTACTCGTGTTCCGGATCTTGTCAAGAGTTTAACAGGCGTGGATATCGCTAAGGTATTATCTCAAATACAATATTTCATTAAATATACTAATTAAAAGATATCAAAAAAATGTATAAATCTTATTTTTCAGTCAGTACACGCAGCATAAAAAGGTAAAATGAGCAAAAAATGTATTTGAGAGTAACGTGCCAAAAATTACTTTCTTAAAAATAGATCTAAGAAGTATACATAATTACACCGTTGATGTGTTTAACTCTTGTAAAAGAGAACTTATGCACATTTGAATCTTTAAATTTCTATTATTTAAAGATATCGATAATTATTACCAATGATTATTACCAAGAAACTATGCACTTCCAATTTTGTGACATTTTTTATATTTTAATATGTAAAATAACACAAAATAGAAAATTAACAACATACCAAATCCTAATTATAATTTTCATTCCATGTAATTATATTAGATGTAGACAAATATTAAATGTATGTATATGTGTTCTATAATTATTTGCGCACAATATTTTATTTGATTTTATTTTCGTATATTGAAAAATCATGCTTTCAAGTAGTTTTGTAGAAATGTATTATTATTATTATTATTATTTGTATTATTCTATGTTATTTTACATATTATATTATATTTATTATTTTTTTTTCTTTTCGTATATTGAAAGAAAAAAAGAAAAATAATAATATCTTTATTTAGAATCTCGATTAATTTCAATGCTTATTTTATGCATTAACAATTTTATACCACTGTGTGCCGAATAGTATTCGTACTGTAATCTTACACTGCTGCATATATTTATATCCACTATACATATTCTATATCTCTTTACTCTAAGATATACATAATTTAACAATGCGTTAACATGTTCCTGTAAAATGGAATAATGTTAATTAACTAATCTAATCTCCGTAATATATAAATTCAATGATGATATTCTATAAATTAATATATTTTTCCGGATTATTAATATACATAAATAATTAAATCATAATATGACCACTTTATAAAAGTAAAATTAATTATAGTTTATATTGTACGATCAACAATTTTAATCTTTAGATTTGTATAATCGTTGTAAATGATTCAATAAATTTTATCTAAACTAAATAATATATTTCAAAGAATTTACTTATTGTCTAAACCTTTTTTTCTGATTTATTATAATTTCATTAAACAAAAGACTGTTAGCTTTATATGAATATTGCAATTTTAGAAAAATTATTTAACTGTATCAAATACATAACATGTTAAAAGAATTAATGATTATTTAAGAAATTTCATTAAATTTTAAGTATGTTCAAATGAAACTATTGTATTACAATATTATTACATCTTGAACAATTAAATAAGATAACGTAAATTGTAAATATCTTTGATATTATATTAATAAAGGTTATTATTTTTTATAGAATATACCATATGGAAGCACATAAATCATTTTTGTTAGATTTTTTGGCAGGTGGTATATCTGCAGCAGTTTCTAAAACCGCAGTAGCACCTATAGAACGTGTCAAATTATTACTTCAGGTGCAACATACTTCCAAACAAATAGCACCTGAGCAACGATATAAAGGTATTTCAATTTTTATTTCATGTCAATGATATATATATGTATATATATAATTACATTGAGAAATACTTTTCAAAAATCTAATTATAATATATTATTCTAATGAATTTAATAATTATTTTAGGTATACTCGATGTATTTATACGTGTACCAAAAGAAACTGGTTTTCTTAGTTTATGGAGAGGTAATTTAGCAAACGTTATACGCTATTTTCCTACACAAGCTTTAAATTTTGCTTTTAAAGACAAATTTAAAACAATATTTTTGGGAGGCGTACCAAAGGAAGCATTTTGGAGAAATTTCATTGGAAATTTAGCATCCGGTGGTGCTGCCGGTGCAACATCATTATTATTTGTATATCCTCTTGATTTTGCTCGCACCAGGTATTATAAATACAATTATAATAATACTACTACTACTAGAAAGTTCATCAAAACAAATATATATATTATTACTATTAACAATGATATAATAGATTAGCTGCGGATGTTGGAAAAGGTGCTCAAAGAGAATTCAGTGGAATGGGTGATTGTTTAATGAAAATTTTTAAAACAGACGGTCTGTTTGGTTTATATCGAGGATTCAATGTGAGTGTCCAAGGAATTATTATATATCGTGCAGCATATTTTGGACTTTATGATACAGTACAAGGCTTTTTTTCTGATCCAAAAGCTACTCCATTATATGTTAACTTTCTTATTGCACAAGTACATTTTAATAATATTTTCTTCTAAGTCATGCAAATACAAAAAAAATTTACAAAGAATATATAACTCTTATGAATTTTATAGGCTGTAACATCGCTGTCAGGACTTTTATCCTATCCTTTAGATACAGTCAGAAGAAGAATGATGATGCAATCAGGACGTAGTAAAGAAGAAGTGATGTATAAAAATACTTTAGATTGTTGGATTAAAGTATTACGTAATGAAGGACCATCAGCTTTCTATAAAGGAGCATTTTCCAATATTTTACGAGGGACAGGTGCTGCTCTCGTTTTAACAATATATGCTCCTATTAAAACTCGTATTGCTAACATAATATTTAAAGATGATACTACAACATAGCTATTTATTTTGTATATTTTATATAAATTCAATAAAAATATTCTTTTTGTTCTTTTTACATAAAATATATTTTATAACTTAAACCAATTTAAATTAATTCATCAATTTTAATTAATGCAGATCTTTCTTAACTAATATTTGTTGATCATTTTCTAATAAAAGTTTAGTTTGTTTTTTTAATGATTGATCTTCATATATATATATATATTACTAATATTTTTGTTCAGTTAGAATCAAATCGAAAGAATAATAAATACTAATAGTATTATTTTTTTAATAATAATACTTCTAATTTTTATACATATTTAAAACAATTGCAGCACTATATATATATATATAGTTAGTTTTTAAAGATACTTGCTGCATTACAAACCAATTAGATTGCAAAGATTATCTGCCATGTTTCTGTTTTAAGGATGTGTAATACATTATTCATGATATTTGGTATTCTGTCATAATCAAATGAATATTTTTAATTAAGCATAGTATGTCGGTCATAAATATTACGTCGCTGTTCTCGAACTTGTCTTTTCCATTTATCTTGTTGATGTCCTACACGATTTAAAACGTTTCCCCTTTCTCCCATTGGATGAGAAGATCCAGGTGCTACTGATGCATCATCCTATTACAGAAAATACAATTATACTAATCTCTTTGACACTTCATATAATTACTTTTCACATATTTATAAATTAATCATTTCAAATGTAAGATAGATGATTGAAAATGTAATATCAAAATTGTACCTCTTCGTTATTGTGTTCGTGATAACCAATATTAGTTGTATTTTTATGAATCCTTTTATTCAATAATGGATCCAAACAAATTAAAAATAACATATAAATTACTAACAATGATATTACCCAAATAACAATTATTACCACAATCTGTAACATAAAGTATAATTAAGTATAAATAAGTTTAATAATAATAATAATAATGGAATATTTCAAACAATCATACTTTAATAATAGTTGTGTTTCTATTTTCATATTTGCAATCGCATCTAGGACAAAATATTTCTTCTTTAGTTTTGATCTGATCACCAAGTTTTGGTAAAACAACATCTTCGCATTTACTGAAATAAATAACATTTGTATAGTAATTATTTGCAAAGATTATGAACATTACTTATCGTTGTACAGATACAACTTGTAAATATAAATTGTATAATGTAATTTATATAATAAAAATGATATTACCATTGCGATGGTGGGACATTAATAATAAAAATTAAACGATCCAACGAAGGTTGTGTTGTATTTATCACAGAGGAAAGACTTGGGCAAATACATTTGCATCTTTTATCATCGTACTGTGCCTGTAATTATATAATTATTTAATCAAATGTTTGGTTATGTCTATGATTATAATATTATGTATTCATAACCTATATATTTGAAAGTAATCAAATTAAACAATATTTATTAAAATTTCTTGTCTTTTTTTTCTATATGGATTATGATACACAAATACATTATTTTGACTTATATGAATATAATTCTAACCTCACATTTTGATAGAAACACTAAAATAATTGTCACTGGAATTAATGTGTATTTCCACATTGTACACTGTAGACGCTCATTGAGCACAACTGTTTATAAATATTGTTTATATATTATATTATTTTATTTTTCAATCAAATCAATCTTTAAACTTATCTCTAAGAATGTTAAACCTTACTGTCAAACGCTTATCAGTGCTGTCAAATAAAGAACCATATATTTCATTACCAACATGAAAACTTTTAAATGTACGTATATATATATATATATGTTTACACCCATCATGTCTAGTAATATTTTTATATACACTTATTGATTAATTAAGATGTTTTTTTGACCAATTAAAATTTAATGATTAAATAAAGTTATCTTTTTTTTTTCTATCATTTTTACTCTTTCTTTTACAATTTTGTAAAATTCCTTTACATTCAAATACTGATTGTTATAAATTATTCTTAGACTTTAGTGATTATTCACAAGTAATTAAAATTCTTTATAGAGAATTATTTTGAAAAGATAAAATTTATAAAAAGGATATGTTTACATTTTTGTGTATTATAGAAATAATTAAGATCATTATAAGGTTTATTACATTTTGATTAAAATATATCATCAACATTCTTAGAGATAATATAATACATTAACTTATATCAACAATATCGTAATACGTTATTTGATACTCTCTGTAAATAGCTTACTTTCATGCTTTTTACCAGGAATGAATAGAAATTTTTTTTACTTCACATTTACATAGTGTAATATAATAATAAGCAATATCTATACAAATTCATTCGATCATTATTACACATAAACATATTATATGGTGCTTCGTGTGATTATTTTGCAATAAGATTGTATAGTTTTTAATATATATATATATATTATTAAAATTATATAAACGATTATCATGAATATATATATACTTCATTTTTATATTATTTTATATACACACACACGTACGTATGTATACATAAAACTTTTATATATATATATATATATAATAATAATAATACAATATATTAAGTAATTAAAGATATAAATATATTAGACAATTCTAGACATACCATTAGTCTTCTTATACACAAATAATATCTGATACAAATGATCAATTTCAAATAAAAAATAAATCGTAAATTTTACTTATACATTTCTTCTTCTTCTTCTTCGGTAAAACACTTCACTTGTGTTTAGTAATGCGTGTAAAGTGTTTAACTTTTGCAAGATATATTTCTAACAACATTTTTAATGTCGTAATTTATAATTACAGGACGCCTATATTCATCATCTTGTTACTAATATCAAATTAAAGTTCATTAATTCAACAGAAGAGTTTAAGAACTTCGCCAAACTATAATTCCAATTAAAATGGATAATAATATTACTCCAATGATAACAAGGATACATTTTTTCTTACGCAACTTATTTTGATAAACACTTGCTTGCCTTACATGAGAAGTTGCTTCATTAACCGATACTTCTGTTCTTTCCACTGAAGCTTCTATTGAATCAACAACTTCCCCTTGATCGTACACTAAAGCACCAAGATCTTTAAAAATTTGATTAATATCGCTGATATTACTCTAAAAAAAAAAAAACAAAAACAAAAGATAAACATATGTTTTAATTATTTCTTTAAATAATTCTCTAATAGAATATATTCTAATAAATATTCTTACCTCTAATTGTCTTATACTTGCTTCTTGTTCTTCTAACATTCGTAAATTTTGTTCTTCTTTTAATTGTTGCTGTTGTATTTGTTTCTGCGTTCTGCTATCTTGCAATTCAATTAATGTTTCCTGTTTCTTTTCACCGAATGGTGCAATACCCGCACTAGCTTTAGCTTTACGAACCATTTCCTTTTCTTTTGTGGCAGCGAGTCTTTGTACAGCCTTAAAAAAAAAGTATATTTATTAATGTAAACTGTATAACATTAAAAGAATTATGCATATATGTGCAATATTACTTGAAAAGAATTTAACGCTGTGGTAAATTCATCTTGAAGTCGTTCACGTTGCATTTTACGTTGTCTTTGTTCCCCAGGGCTACTTGAACCAGAATTATTAGCTAAATCACGTAAATGACCACTGGTATCTTTTGCAAGTTGTTGTGTATAATGTTGTATTTGATGCCTAGAAAGAAAATATTTCATAGAATTATTAATAAATGGTTAAATTTTAATAAAACATTCATTTACACCGTACAATTTGTTTCTAAGTTCCTGTGAATCCGTAGAACTGCCCAATTGATTAACCATCTTTTGCATTGAAGATACTAAAATCAAAGATAAATATATATATATATTACATTGTTGTATTAAAGAAATATTTGAATTATTGTTTGATTATTTACCATTTTGTGATATCTTCAATATAGAGGTTCCTATAGTTTGAGATAACCTACTAAAATCTTGTTCCCTGGCAGGGCCACCGTTGTGGTATGAAGAAAATCCAATATCCATTTTGATGTGCTTTATAATAAAATGAAGATTCAATTATTTACACAAATAGATCTTATTGTAATAAAATGAAATTTTACATGAGTCATTCTCATTTGTCAAATCAATTAAATGGTGTTAATTGATTTGACTTGCGAACAATTCAATTAATTATATTTAATAACATTATTATAATTTGTCTCAATGAATGTTATCAAAATGATTTCAAGGTAATATTGTTTAAATAAAATGTGTAACTTACGTGAAATAAATGCTTCTATGATTTATTTGTTTTATCTTCTACCATTTAATTTGAAAACAATGATAAGAATGTTAATTGTTTGTATAAACAATAAATACTGATAAGTATAATTAATAAATATGTTTGAAAAATGTTGAAAAAATCAACAATCAATTGATAGTCAGATTATAAAAATGTCAAAAAGTAGAAGCACCGCCCGTTAATGATATTTCTCTTGTCAACAAATTAATAGGTCTACTGTATGCCATATGCAGTGACTCAGAAGTATCCATTTCATAAGGTATGAAAGGATGTTAATCGAATCAAACCTACTATTTTACTTTATGTCATTTTCTCAAGTTCACTATACGAAGCACTAAAACTTCTCACAAATCAATAAAAGACTATATCACATATTTTAAATAAATATAATCACTAAACGTATTCTATAACAAATAAATACGTGAACGTTTAAAATTGAATTGTTCTTTTTCCTTCAATATAAAAAAGAAGATAAAACAATGTCTAAAGATAAAAAAAAAAATGAAAATTTGTTAAAATATCAAATGTCATTAAGCTGTCGACATACCGTTGTGTAGTAATCACTATTGCAGAATAATCTTGATACTATTGTTAATTTTAAGGTTATTCACGTCTTTTTAAACTGTTTTATTAAAATTGCAAACACACACTAAACTTGTTTGTCACAGATGTAGATATGTTACTACAAATTAGGTATCTTTGATATTTTTCACTTTAAGACTAACGTTACCGACAATGTACCGAATAAGACTGAATTATCGACAGAGAACAATTTCTACCAAAGTACATCAGCGCCCTCTACATATCCCCATAATATTTCAAAATTACTATATGATCTAATGAAAAATCACAGATATTTAAATTGAGGAAATATTTGTTAGAAATTAGGTTATAATAGAGTACTACTTTTAATTAATGACAATAATAAAAAGCTATGACCTGTTTGGAACTACTAGAATAGCAATAAAGTCTTATTTATCATGGCATATTTAAATGGTCCCGCTGTGAGTTTATAGGTCTGTGGCGCATGCGCACTGTGTTGTTTTAAAAATGTTACGCGGGCTAATATGAATTACTTATTACGAGCATTGTAAATATTTGAAAAATATTTAAAAGTTATTGTTCACATAAATATGTATTAGATTTATTCCCTATCTGAAATAAAATAAAACAAATTAATATGTAAAGTAAATTAAAACCACTTTTAATTGTTGCGTATGGTATATGTAAATATATAAAAGATAGTATTATAGATTAAATTAGTATTTTTTTTTCATTCCATTGTAATTAATTTATTGTTTTATTAATTTATTATTTTCCACCACTTTTCCAACCTTTCCTCCGCAACTTTCCCAACCATATCTCTACCATTTCCTTTACAACTTCAAGCATCCTTAACCTAAATTTTCCTATAATATAAGTAGAATGCATTACTGCAATAAAATAATTGTTAATTAATTGATGCAAGTGACTATTGTTATCTAAAAGCAAAGCAGGGTTGCATTATATGATTTATGTATTGTTTTCCTCGAAATTCACTTTCTGACTGGCACGTTGTCACGTCACTATCAAAATACTTTTATTTAATGTTTATTATATAATTTTCTAAACGTTGCACATGTTTATAACGTATATAATATTTGAAATAAATTTAAAGTATTATTATATCAAAGCACTTATGCACTTGCTTAAAAAATAATCCATTACATTTATTTTATTTTAAAAGTTTATAAATAATTAATAATCACTAATAAATAACATTGAAAAATATTATTAAATGTATAATTTAATATAATTAATATATCTATATATACCGTGAAAGGCATTTGAATGTAACCGTCGAATCAAAATTTTGACGTTTTTCTCATTTTCAATGGAAATCCAGATGTCACGGTGGTTTCTAACATTTTCCTCCCGTCACAAAAATTAAAGATTTGTAGCAGGAGCACATGATGATACAAGAGGTATCAGGAGGTATTCGATCGACGGTAGGTGGTACTAAATCAAGAGCGCTCATTGGTTCGTTACAACCAATCAACAGTTAGACGACGCCCAGCTTCAACATCATTTGTTGGTTATTAAAAAATTAATTAAAAATACTTCTAGACATAAATTATAAACATTTAAGCACTCAAAAAATTTTACAGACTCGTAAAAATATTATAAATTCATAAAAGTTTACAAAATATCCTTAGAAAGTACTTTTTTATAGATGGTCGTTGTGACCTATTAACCTCAATGTTGATCATATGTTAAAAATTAATTTAAAATACTTCTAGACATAAATTGTAGACATTTGTGAACTTGAAACATTCTAAAAACTCTAAAGATTGTTATTATTTCATAAAAGTTTATAAAATATGTTTCAAAAATATTTATTCCGTTAAAAAATCTTGAGATATTATAACGAAATATCCGTGATTTGAGGCACATATTAACGAATGATTTCTTTAATTGTAGGTATGAATTATATAGATTTATAGATTTACCGTATTTGTCTGACTTTGAAGAGCATTCTTCGTTTATGAAAAATAATAAAAACTGTCTATTTATTGAGAAATAAATAAATTAAAGTAATTGTAACTGTTACTTTATTTTACCGAGTGGTGTAGCGGTACGACCGATGGTCGCGCCATCTAAGTTACTAGAAGGCTAGGGAACCACGYWAGCAARTKYGGTCACCAGACGAGTACAGTCTGTGCGTAGCCGTTGAGAAGTGTACAACAAAGGAAAGCAAGTCGCATCCTAACAATAAAGAACATAAAACAAATTCAGTCTAATATTATCTTTACTATAGAGAAACCCTCTACAGTGGTAGCATATGTGCCGCCATCTAGCGGTACTAGCTATTACTTTAATGTACCACTCGGTAAAATATGTGTTACCATCTATTTATAAAAGCACGTATCACTTATTACTTAAAATATATACTAAATATTTTACATATATAAATAAATTGTTAGACTACGGACTTTTCAGCCAAACTGTTATTTAATGAATACTTTTATGTTTTACAGGTGTGTTCTATATTGCTGTTACAAGTACACATCATATTATTAAACAGATTGAAAATACATCCGATTCCCATAATATCTGAGACATAGAAAAATTTCTTTATTTTAAGAGGACTATCATAAAACTTTCAATAATAAAATAAAGAATTAGTTATTACCGCTAGATAACGAAAAAGTTGTTACCAGTCGGTAAGATGAAGTAACAATTACAACCGCGAGGTGGCAGCACATATTTTAACAATAGGAAAAAGTACATTACTTTAATTTATTTATTTCTCAGTAAATAGATAGTTTTTATTACTTTTTATGAATGTAGAAATTTCCTCAGAGTCTGAAAAATACGATAAATCTTTAAATGTATATAATTTATGCTTATACTTATATAAATCAAGCGTTAATGTGTGACTAAAATCACGGATAAGGTTCAATAATATCTCAAAGTTCTTTAAGAAAATCCGTCTTTCTGAAGCATATTTTATAAACTTTTATGAAATAATAACAATCTTTAGAGTTTTTAGAATGTTTTAAGTTCATAATTGTCTACAATTTATGTCTAGAAGTATTTTAAATTAATTTTTAACAAATGATCAACATTGAGGTTAATAGGTCACAACGACCATACATAAAAAAGTACTTTCTAAGGATATTTTGTAAACTTTTATGAATTTATAATATTTTTACGAGTCTGTAAAATTTTTTGAGTGCTTAAATGTTTATAATTTATGTCTAGAAGTATTTTTAATTAATTTTTTAATAACCAACAAATGATGTTGAAGCTGGGCGTCGTCTAACTGTTGATTGGTTGTAACGAACCAATGAGCGCTCTTGATTTAGTACCACCTACCGTCGATCGAATACCTCCTGATACCTCTTGTATCATCATGTGCTCCTGCTACAAATCTTTAATTTTTGTGACGGGAGGAAAATGTTAGAAACCACCGTGACATCTGGATTTCCATTGAAAATGAGAAAAACGTCAAAATTTTGATTCGACGGTTACATTCAAATGCCTTTCACGGTATATATAGATATATTAATTATATTAAATTATACATTTAATAATATTTTTCAATGTTATTTATTAGTGATTATTAATTATTTATAAACTTTTAAAATAAAATAAATGTAATGGATTATTTTTTAAGCAAGTGCATAAGTGCTTTGATATAATAATACTTTACATTTATTTCAAATATTATATACGTTATAAACATGTGCAACGTTTAGAAAATTATATAAAAAACATTAAATAAAAGTATTTTGATAGTGACGTGACAAAGTGCCATTCTGAAAATGAATTTCGAGGAAAACAATACATAAATCATATAATGCAAGCTTTTAGATAACAATAGTCACTTGCATCAATTAATTAACAATTTAGTTAATGAACTAATGCATAATCCATAAATATTATAATCTTATATTTTATTTATCATGTGCATTTCTCCTGTTCTAGACATGTGCAACATTAAAAGAAATTTGATAAAAAACAACGTGCAAGTGTCAAAGTGAATTTCAAGGACGACGATGCATAAATCATATATTTGGTTTTTTCATGTAACAATGGACATTCCTTTGGATATAAATGTGTTTCAAAACCATTGTGGAACCGGAAATAAATTTTAGGGACTTTTAGTTTATATTTTGTCCACAGGTTCGTTGTAATCGCACACATGTTGAATGAACTGTAGAAAACAGTTTTAATAATAGGTTATGTTTTATAGATTTAATTCTAAAAAAATAAAAAATGATAGATAAAAAAGACAAAAATAACCTTAGTGGTTACAAAAGTGAGTAGAATTATGAAAACATATAAAATATATTTAATTGTGTTATCTTCTAATATAAATACTTAACAAATGAATGTGTTTTCTCTTAGCTGTGTGGATTCATTTTAATCATGAAAATGTGGATAGGCATCAATTGTTTTTAAAAAAGCATTGGATTAAAAAGCAAGAGCCTGAATATCCAAGAGGTAAAACTTTGTTTGTGTTGAACATACCACCATATGCTACAATAGATTCATTGAAGAATGCATTTACAAAACTTTGTGGTGAAGTATCATCTGTTGTGTTTACAACATCAGTTGGATTTAAAACTGGTTATATAGTATTTAAGAATGAATCTAGTTTAGATAAAGCACTACGTATACCAAGTGAACATGCGATATGTTTAAGTACAGATGAAGACACATATTTAACAGGTTTTGCAAGTATGTTTTTTGAATTATTTACTTATGTACATTTGTATTATAAAATGAGGTATTTACACATATTTTATTTTCAATAGAATGGTGTACCGAATACAATGATTCATTACGTTCTGAACAAGATTTAAAGAAAGAGATAAGTATATACATGGCTATGTATGATCAGAAAATTGCAGATCGTATTGCAAAAGAAAAATCTGCTGAGGAAGGAGAAGATGATGGATGGGTGACTGTTACGAGTCGAAAGAAAAGAGGAAAATTTGCTACCAGTAGAAAAGAATCTACTATAAACAAGATAAGAACTAATTTAGAATTAAAGAATCGTAAAAAACAATTGCTCAACTTTTATACATTTCAAATTCGTGAATCGAAGAAACAACGTACGTAGATTTTTCCTCAAAGTTTTATATTTCTATTATCTTACAAAATTATATTTACTTTAATTACTATTTTATTACAGATCTGGCAGAATTACGAAAGAAGTTTGAATTGGATAAGCAAAAATTACAAGAACTTAAAAAGAAACGAACTTTTAAACCATTTTAAATGAATAACAGTAAATATTTATATTTATCAATATATCAATTAAATTTAATAATTATAATTTATTTAGGCACTAAATCATTTATCATCCAGATATTATTCCTTTTAATAAAATACTTTTTTTTTTATAGACAATAAGAAAGAATAAACATTAAGAATACTTTTTTTCAAGCAGTTTTCGAAGTATACGTTTGAAGAGTCCATTCAATTAAAAAGTGTTGATATGCGAGTGGTTGTAGCAACGCAAGTAATTCTTCTATAACAATGAAAAATAATCATCTTTTCACTTATCTTTTTAAATTGATATTTCACTTAGAAGTATTAACAAAATCTACTAACGTTTGTTACCATAAATACAATTTGCAGACATTGCTGCACTCACAGCTTGAGCTAATCTTTCCATTGCTACATCACGTAATTCTGAATGAATATTTGGAAAAGTCTGTAAAGCAGTTGTTAATATTCGTACAGTAGCTGCTAAATGTTGTGCAGATATAGCGTGTTTGTTAGTTCCATTGCTCTTTAACCTCAGTACTGATTCCATAAGTAATTGTTGAATTTTGGAATAACTTTTCTTTTTATCTTCCTGTTCATCATTCACCGTAGGGTCTAAGCGTAAAGGATTTAAAATGCACCATCTACAAAATAGTATGAATATAATTTAGATTAAACTTTCATGTCAAAGATTAAAAAATTGTTACCTGAAAAGACCAGCTATTGGTGCTATGGGTGTCATAGGTATACCACCGCTTGGTAACGCTGGGTTGTCCATTAAAGGTGTTAATAGTAAACTTGGATTTTCCTCTATCCATTCTCCTATTAATTTGAGTAATTCCGTAGGTGGATCTTTATCCTCATAAACTTCACCTATTGCCGTCATTAAGTTTGCGGTGAAATGGGAGGCAAGTACAGGAAGCTGCTTTAGTTTGTCAATAGATTTTGGTGTAAGGACAAAATAGTCATTGAGTACATGCCTTGCCAGTCCTACGCTTTGAGCTGATGTTGAACCTAATTGCTGCATCCAGATACCGGTCGCATTAAGTATTGCAGTATTCTGTGTAGCAATAGCCAGTGATACCAAATTTCCTAAAATTTTATATCTTGGACTCTCGGCTGGAAATAATGACAGAAAAACAGCATTTCGTACTGCCGGAATACCACCTGGACTTTGAAAAAAGTCACTTAAAACTTCAATTAGTTGCAACTCCTGCATGGCGACAGTCAAATTACGTTTCTTTCTTCTTTCTATTTCTCCAAAAATAAATTCTGCCATTAGATCTCCTTGAAGATCCATTTGTTTTCCTGGTCTGGTGCATAATACCTCTAAAAATTATCCCCAAAGGTAAATAAGCAAAATTCATTTTTTAATTCAATGGAATGTTATTTATTATTGTATTGACCGGTAACCTCTTTAAAAAAAACAAAACATTTTTCTTACCAATTTTTCCTAATGCCTCTTTAGCGCAATATGGAAATTCTAATTTTCTAAGGGATTGTTTAATGTCATTTGAAGCCATTAAAAAATCTAAGACGATTTTTTGATTTTTTAATCTAACATATATATGTGAAAATTTAAATGGACATATTCATTTGTTAAATCGATTCACTTGTCCTTTAATTTTATCAGTGTTACCACACGTTTTTTGCATAAAAAAATAAAAATTCCCTAGTCGTTGGAGTATTGGTTTCTTGAACTTGTTTGTTTATTTAATATTACATTTGAATAATTTTTATCATCACATTGAAGTATTTCATCTTAATTTGTTTTATTTTATTTGGAAATCAATTAAATTATTTATTATAGTTTCTTTATTTGTTATCGATTTTTTGACCAATCAATTGTTCAGTTGAATTTGGTAGAAATAGTCTTATTGGAGAATCAGTGAGCGGCGCATGCGCATTAGACTTGTCGTGCTTATCGTACACGTATGTTACGATACTGGCTATCTTAATATCTACTAACAGACTAATGCGCATGCGCAGGTCAGCGCAAGTTAGAGAGAGACAACATCAACCTCCCATGTTCTATCTCTTTTTATTTCGCTGACAGGATTTTATGTTGGCTTGTCTGCTCTATGTGTAATATCTCTATGGATAAGAGTGGTCCAGATTTTCAAATGGACCAAATTCAAAGTTTCATTTGTGTAGTAGAAATTCAAATTAATTTTTATTCAATATAATAATCTTTATCATGTGGAAATCATCAGTAATTAATGCATCAGACCACATATTTCCTGGTTTAGCATATCATGATCGTAAAAAAGAATTCTATGACATAGGTATATATTATTTATATAATTTTATAATTATTTTTATTCATAAATACTTTTTAATTAATTTCTCTATTAATGTTTATTTTAATAGGTAATCAAATACAATCTAGTTTACCACTTCAAATGGCTTTATACTTCAATGTACGTTTTCTACCAATTTGGTTTTTTATTGGCGTTATTAGTTTAGATTATAAGGTAAACATATTCAATTATATTATTAATATTAATTTATATTTAATATTTATATAGATTATATTTTGTTTTACAGTACTTTCAATTAACGGATGTATACAAATTCATAACAGTTGCAGTATTCTTACTTATTTCTGTGCTAGAATGTACAAGATTATATCTAGGATATCTTGGCAATTTAGATGAAAAGGTAATTGAATTTTTTAATTGATCAAGGCTTTTCAAACTTCATATGAAGTCGTGGTCCACATTTTTGAGAAGCTTTGATATAAACCATGAAAATAAAAAACTTGTTAAGTAATACTGTTTTTCAATTAGATTCCAGAATTAGCAAGCTTTTGGCTTATATCAACATTAATACAATTTCCATTAGAATTATTTATACTTCTCGATAGTAGAACTATGCTTAATTTTACTGAACAAATAATTAACAGTGTAATGATATTTTTTCTTAGTATAGAGATTATTTTTGGTACGATAGCATTAAAAAATTCAGCTTATCATCATGCTAAAAGATTTTATATTGCTCAGTTATATGGCATAGAAGATAAGTTTAATTAAATTTAATATCTGTTTATTATATTATTTTTTGATCATTTGATACAATTTCAAAGTAATACTTCATAAGATTTAGTTTTATATTGCTGATGTTAATATCTGTATATTTATATATTAATATTTTAGTTATAAGTTAGAATGAAAATTAATGTGGGATTCTATATACAGAATAATTTGAATCTATATTTAAGATAAATTTGTTGTGTGTCGATTATTCATAAATATTTATTATACCTTGACAGTCTCCTCGAGTTCATGGGTTTCATAAAACGCTTGTAAATTTTCAACATTTAATCTTAAACTTTTTAAATATACCTCCATGTCCCTTATGATGATTTCATCTTTCACATCTTCACCATTTGCAATGATTTTTAAAAGTTGCTCACGAGCAGGCACAGTACGAGAAAGTAACTAATAAGATAATTATAAATATTTGAAATCTATGATAATTTTGACATTATTAAACGATTAATTGTATTAATTAATATTTACACCAAAAAGTTGTTGTAACATCCAACCATGATATGGTTCTAAAGATAATTTGTATGCTTCTTTTAAAAATGCTACCATATCATCAGTCGCCCTACCAGCATTGTGATCCTCAACAATTTTCTCAAAAAATAATAAAATCATGTATAAACATCTGTAAATATTTATTATATATTTATTGTGCATATAAAGAAGCTATCAAATTATCATTGAATAAAGTAAACTTCTTATACCTTCTTAACCACATCAAAGCATCAGTAGCAATGATAGTTTCACCTTGTTCTTTCTCAAGTAAAATCATATCTTGCAAAGTATTGTGCCTTTCTTTGTCAATGAAGTATTTATTGTTTAATTTCTAAAACATACAAATATTTGAATTAATTTATAAGACATCTATTTGTTTAAATAATCAATTTATACAGTAATATCTTTAATTAACCTTTACGTTGCCTTCTATGTCATGTTTAACTGGTGCAAATAATTTACCAAATTTTTCTGAAATAGTAAAATAAACAATTTTTTTTTTAAATTATCATCGACAACGATCAACGATCATTTAAATAGAAATTTTTAAATTAATTTTATAAATGCATAAATATTTACCTACTATTTCTACAACACCACGAGAAGCATCTAAAAATTTTTCTGTTGATATTTTATCATCTATAATATCTGGAAAATGTATTTTATTTATGCTCAATGTATTCGTAATTCTTTCGTCTGATGTTAATGCCATGATTAAATCTAAATTGATGTCAAATCAAACGTTATTTTAATAGTCAAACATACACACGTTGCCAAGATTTGTACGAAGTATTATATATATATATATATGTTATAATATATATATGATATCAGAGGGCATTTAAAAAAAAAATATTGTAAACAGCTGATAAATTCGTATGAATGGATTGGTCAATTATATCTTATAGTAAATTTTATCACGAGTCTTATCATAAGTCGAGAGAATTGGACAAATCAAATGAATCGAGCATAAGCAATAAACAATTTTGTCCAATAAAGTAAAACACACATGTGTTAGTTTTTCAAATTTCATTCTTTTCAATCAGATTCATTCATTCAATGTTTAGTGTAACTCGAATATACAAATCCTCGAGTGATTTGTTTTATATTTTCATGACTTGTCAAATTATTTAGAAATAGTTTTTAAATACGTAATTTAATTGAATAATAATTAATTAATATTATAAAATGAAAATTAATTAATTGGAATGGATCGAGATGAAAAGGGAGGAATAAATATCAGAATTAATAATATAGGAACATATTATTGTATTTTTTTTTTTTTTTTTTTTAATACGCATTCCCCAAAGCACAGGCTTTAATATTCTAAATATAATATTAAATATAATTTTTCTTATATACTTAATATATTATTTTTGTTAAGCGTTTTAAATAATAAAATTTGTTTTTTTCTTTTTTGTTATATCCTTACTGACTAGCTTAATGCTTTGTTATTAAATGGGGTTTCTCATCTAAATTATTTATCATCTCTTTTAAATTAAATTGGATGCACTTCTCATTGGTAAATCTTAGCTGAAAAAATCGCCGTTTTACAATATTGTCTCCTTAGTAAATATTCTTCTTAATATTCGCCACTAGTTTCTAAAATTATTAAAATAATTTCAGGAATAATACTGTACATATACATACGTAATACAATTATAAACGCTATTGCGTTTTTTGGTATTAACGTTTTAAAAGATATTATTACGCTGTGACTACATTTCAAACGCAAATATTACTTTAAATTACTTCAATTACTTTAATCCCTTAACTATTCGTCTTTTCATTACTATTATATTAAATATTATTGTTATTATTATTATTATTTACACGTTTAAACTTACGCGCGTGTGTATGTTGTCTTTTTCAAAATTTTCTGTTCTTTTCTTTTTTTTCTTTTTTTCATTAATTTTTGTGCACAAGTTTATGAGTGTAACATAATCTAATGTTCTATTATTTTTTAATACACTCCAGATGAAGTGTGCAGGAAACAAATCGCATATTTCTTGTTAATTGATACAAAAATCGTGTTAATCGTGTTATCAGTAAATAATTCGTCTTAACTAAAAAAAAAAAAAAAAAAAGAACACGAATATAAGATACGAGAACGAGATCTATTTTATTTTTGAATTTCTTTCGTCGACTAGAAATGGAATTTTACTTAGGTCGTAGAAAATCCCTGTGTTATCTATGTTATATTTAACGATTACAATTATTCGTTATTAATTTATTACACGATGGTATTTTTTGTTTTTGGTTTTGGTTTTGCTTATATACTGACCTATAGAAGCACACGTTTCTATTTTATCTTGTTTGTAATTTTAAAAATGTTGATTAACACGTTCCATGCCAAGCCCTTTTTTATTCAAGTCATTTCAATTTGCTTGAACAAAATCAACCATTACATGTAATTATTAATTATTATAAATGTAACAATTGAACAAACTTATGTGCTTTGGTTCTATACTGCATTTTGTATAATGCATCAATATTTTAATAGAAATATTTTTGTACAGAATTCAATTTGTTATAAACATATATTTTTTCAGCAAATTATAATAAATAAATATGTCTAATTGTAAGTGTACCACCGGTGGTACACGTGGCATGAAACGTGTTCATTATTTTGAGCATTTCTTTCTCCTCCCATTAGGTAACAGCTTTCTTTTTTCAATTTATTTTAATATACGAATGATATACAGGGTGTCTTGTAATCCCTTGATCGTTTATATCATTAATTACATGATACCCTGTATTTCCAGGTATGTTTATTTCAATGAGAATAGAATAATATTCATTTGGAAAGCGATGAAAATGATTACGAGAGATGGCAGTTACGATATTTTACTTTTAACACGAATCGAAGACTCTTGTGCTATAAAAAAGAACTAAAAGTTACCTGAGAGAGTAAGAAAAAGAGAGCTAGAGTACAGGTGTTTAATGTATACGTATTAGATTATTATTAGGATAATAATAGGGTGTCTAATTGCCGCGAGAAAAATGTGCTTTTTACTAGGAAGTAGCTTTTTTTGTCGCGGTACCGATCAATCGGTGATAATGTAGCGGCAATTTCAAATGAATCCTGAGTAGTTTCAAAGAAATGTTCACTTTTTTTCATCTTCTTTGGCTCGTAAGGCAAGGAAAGGTGATTAGATCGGTCGTGAAAATTGCAATGACCTTCAGAAGGCAGTTGGAAGTTCATGTTTAAGTATATTCCCCGTGGAATCCTCAGCGATTAGAGTTAAAGCTGCCAGGCAGTGAGGAGGGGGTGGTGGTACCAATGCTTCTATGGGTGGTCGGTTTCCAGGAAATTGACGAGAACCAACGACCATACCACCGGATGTTTCTCTCAGTTCGATCACTCGTATACCGTAACGTGAACGTGCGACGTTTCTGTAAAATAAATCGATATAGGAAATGTTGATCTCTATTAAATGTAATATCAAATTTTTGTATTTATTTCAGCTCTGATCATACCTTTTACCATCGTACTCGATGTCGTTGTGACGTCTGTTGGAATGATTGTCAACTTCGGTGTTAAACCATCGATGATATGCGAGCAATGCAGCACAAGAAGGCCCCCAAAAAGTTCTGTCCGGTTGAGAGGGTGGTTCGGCTGCGTTTAAGGTTTTGGAAAAGGATCTGTTTAGTTCAGGACTGGCTGGAGCGGATAGCCTACCAGGTAATTGTCTTGTGTTTGCAGATGGAGATGGCCTAGACGTTTCGGATAAAAGTCTACCTCTTCGGGGACTGGCCAATACCGGTTCTTGTACAGTGACGGTGACGCTGAGAGGTCTACTAAGAGCAACTGTCGTGTGTTGGGGATCTCTCCTGATGGGATTCCGATTAAAATCGATTCCAGCTGCACCAACGAAGACCCTGTCGACGTAATCGAAACCACGTCCCATAATACCTTCCCTAGTGTGTCCAAGATCGAACGTGTGACCGAGCTCGTGTAAGACAGATCCAAGGGTAGTCGCCAGACAACCACCATGGGTGCCACGATAATTGCTGTCATCCATTAATTGCTCGGTGTCAACTACCGTTGCGTCTAAAAATCGGGGTAATACTTGGGCCATGCAGGTAGGCCACGTATGCAAGCAAGCCGAACCGAAAAGTGCTAAACCACCACCACCCAAAGCAGCATGACCTTGCGTTCTCGCTAAAGTATCTTCGTGAGTACGGGGACTCGGTGCACCGCGATACCTCGTGCAGGATAAGAAAGCTAGGTATTTCCGGTCCTTCGATGCTAATGGACCGGTCATCAGTTCGCGTGCTATCAGCTCCCATAATTCTCGTTGCGACATAGCTCGTGCTCTGTCCACATGAAGCATACTGTGCATCACCAAGCATTCCGGACCATCCAAATCACGTTCCAATTGAAAGGTCTTTCTTCCGTGTCCAGCTTCTCGCAATTTCTCAGCTGTTAGTGTCTGTAGTAATCTAGCACCCAAACCTATTCTGGTTGCCGCGCTTTCCGGTGATCTATCCTCTCTACGTGGGCCTTGAAAGTAACCATCGTGTCCCGCGCATACCACGTATACCGGTGTCACTCGTAGCCTAGTCGTTCTTGGCTCATGCAATAGCGTCAATCGTTTTTTGTGTCCTCCTGCTTCAAGTTCCAATTTGTTTGATCCACGCGGAAGATCAACTAACACGCGAAATTCCCCACCAATGACTGGCCATTCCGATATCACATTTTTTTGAGCTCGTACGGTAATATAGTTGCACGCTAAGGGTGCTCGGCCACGTATAAGGGCTAAACTGTAGGTCAGAGTCTCTCCGTCTATCAGATTACATATCGTGATGCCTTCCGGGTTGTTGCCATTAGCTGCGAATCCTCGCTGACGGTGATGGTTATCCGTCAGCGTTGCATCCGCAAGCACCTGTGGAATTTTCTTGCTTTTTTTAAACATCCTTTAAACATAAATTTTATTAGTTTATTAGATGTTTGTCAGCTCGTAAACGATACAAATATACTAACACGTTTTTGTAATAATTTTTAAATTGATTTTAATTGTCATATTTGTTTGGTAGAATGAATAAATTGCATTTAATTTGGTGGGTGTGTTTGCCTTGGTGCGCAGGACTTTGCAGGAAAGAATGCGACCCTGAGTATAGATTCGCTTTCGTTTTTGGTGGAAGGGCAAGGGCATGAGTCAGCGCGGATACGAACGCATTGTCGCATTTTTCAAATAGTACCGAGTTATATTCTTTTTTGATTATGTAGTTTATCTACTTTTTTTTTATTTTTTTAAAAGTCGTTTAAGAGATTTGAAACTTGGCAGGATTTATGGGAGCTAGCGTTGCAAAGTTAATTATTTTTTCATTTGAAATCGACAAGAATTTGCGCAGTTACTTGCACGTTCACGTTTATTACACGCGAATAAACTATCGCGATAATCTTTCGAATAAAAATGACGTATAAAGATGAAGTTCATCATTGCAAATTGTCACGAAACGTTGAATAGCATTTGTACTATGCATACATGTGTGCACGTATTTCTATGTTACTTCGTTCTCCTAATCGAGTTAGAATACTATAGTTAGGGAAAACAGATCGATACTTGGATTATCATGACTAACGTTGTTTCACGTAACTTAGATTCTTTGCAAAGGCAAACTTTTTACATCACAATTTTCAAAATTATGCAACCCTAGTTTTCATTTCAAATTGTTAGATAAAAATAAGAACTTTGAAAAAGTAACAAATGAAAGCCATGCTGCTACAAAAGACTATTTTTTTTTTTATTGGACTTAGGAAAATGATTTTTCAAGATAACATAATTAATTTTGAAAATAATTGATAATAATGAAAAACGGATTATTTTCAGGAAAGATTAGAGGCCGTACGGTGGTGCTACCTCGTGGTAAAATAATGAGCCTCTTCGAAGTTGAACACACGTCACATACAGGGAGACAGCATCAGAGTTTTCCTCTCTACTCAACTCTTCCGGTCGTTAACAACGCAACGTGTGAAGTGTCAAACGGAAGAGAACACGTTGCTTTTGGAAAGTTTGTTTGGAGCCCGTAGATAACTATCCGTGCTTTTAACACACACGCTATTATCTCCTTGACCCAGATATTTACGTGTTCACGAAGAAGAATAAGGCGCCCATTTCTTTTGAAGAAAATTCGCGGCAAGTATCACGAATGTATAACCGACTAATGTCAAAGTCTTACAAAGGAAAGGAAAAGAAAGTTAGAAAGACAGAAGAGGATGGAGATAAGAAAGAAGTAGGTATTAGTTAGAAGGAAGAAGAAGAAGAAGAAGTTAACAAAAATGATTCGTGAGTTTTCTAATCTCACTCGTACAAGCGCGTTATCAAACAACAAAAAGTCCGCAATAATAAACTGATCAAAGCTCAGTTGACCATGTACATAACATAACATTGGCCGGTGTTCTTGGAACATAAAACAAGTTTGAACATTGAACAACGAAACACGATTGTCTTTGGAAAAGTATTTAAATTAAAAAAAAAAAAAAAGAATAAAAACAGAACAAGGTAATTTAAATCCTTGGCTCTTGGGTTATTCACTTTGATGAATGAATCGTCTATTGACTTACCATTTTGCACGAGTAACGTAGACGATAGGTGGACCTACGGCGATAATAAGGAACGTCGGATTCAGCCGGCTCCGGACATGCGGAGAGAGAGACTGTGGCGCCCAGGCGTAGAAGGACGGTGGGTGCCGGTACTATGGCGTTGCTGCAGCGGCGCATGCAGTCGCGCACCCGCACTCATGCTAACCACCCTCTTCTTCAACCCAACTCAACTACCACCACCACTATTGCAAACAACCGACTTTACTTGCCCTATACATTCAAGAACCCACCCTTGTCTCTACCTACACCTCTTTACATCACACCTACCGCGTGTATCCTGATGATCACTGTAAACACCTGACTATTCCCTACTACCATCTTCCGCTTCGAGAATTATTATCAACAGAATTCATTTTCATCCTTGCTAGATAATGAATTTCTTTCTTTCTTTCTTTCTTTCTTCTTTTTGTTAACTCGAGGGTGCTCAAGAGGGAAGCCTTGTATGTATTAAAACCTAACTGAGAAAATAGTAATTTATATATACAGGTAGATAGACAGGTATATGAAGTTACTACCAACTTATTCTTTTAACTTGCCATATTGAAAATAATGGACGTCGATTCGTTACACGACGGCCACTCAAAGACTTTATTCTTTTGCTATCTCCCATCGATGATCCTAAGATCGATAGAAGAAAATTTTTTTTATCGATATTCCTTTCAGGATAATTTATAATCGACGTTAAAGGTTTAATGTTATTAGGATCGGTAAAGTCGTAAATACAGTTTCCATCGGGGAAGCAATTACGAGACTGTAATACGATTGATTTCGTGAAAAATGACCGATAGATGTGTAGGAGGAACAGACGGTAGAGCTGGGAGAGACAGAGAAAAAGAGAAGGAGGGAATTGGGAATGGAAGTTTATCGAATTTCATGTTACATCAAGATACTAAATGGCAATCACGAGTAGCATTCCGAACGTGATTAATCTCGTTTGTCTTTCCTACTGTGATTTATAGGTTTCCGTATGAAGAAGAACTTGCATATGGCACTTTTTTTTTACAATTAAATGAACAATCCTCACATCTACGAGTGATGTTCATGATAATCGTGATTGTTAATTTGTTGAAATGATAAAAATAATTTGAAATTTTCAGCCCTTTTCGAGAGTTGGGATGAGAGACTTCATTTGAAAAGTGTTTCGCCAATGCGGTGGCCTTCGTTCATCGGCTGGGGTCAAAAGGATCGATTGATAATCCTAAACGCGTACCACCAGCCATGCCAAGCCAAGTCCAGATCAGGTTTTTTGCATAGGTCAAACTTTTCTTCGATGGATTTTCGAGAGGAATTGAATTTACATGTTCAAACAATTCCTTGGTTAGAACTTTAAAGGAGAGTAACTTCCGTGCTGCTGGAGTTCACAAGTGTTTGTAAAAGAATAAGAAGGAGAAGAAGAAGAAGAAGAAGAAGAAGAAAAAGAAGAAGTGCATCAATGATAATGTGTTCTAATCAGGTCACTCGTCCCAGATACGCTACGCGCATAAATTGACTCCCAAGTAAAGGAAAGATGCTATTGGTTTATTCTTCGATATATCCGATCGTATCCGATGGAGATATCTTTCGCTAATCTTTCGGAATGATTCTGAGAACGCATTTAATGAGACGCGAGGAATATTTCTGACTCATTAGACGAGAGGAGTTGTGGCACATTACAATAAATTTACATCGTGAAAGTTTAACCACTGTTCCGAATGGTAAACAGATTTAATTGGGCCATGTTATGCGGAATTCCATTAACCCTTTAATGATCTTAGCTTAGAAGATTTTCATTTTTTATGAACTCATTTGCTTTTTTTTTTCTTTAGCTTAATTACCAGACCGACAAATTATTGAAATTCTCGCTTCAATTACTTTCTTGTTATTATTTTAATGACTGGACAGGTTACTGTATAATTTAGCTATATATTTCTAAATAATTCGTTTTAAAACAAAAATCAATAGGTTGGTTTTATTGATAAAAGAGTAGGTTGGTTATTTCGTTGACTTAGAATTAGTTATGCTTTCTATTACTATACTCTCGGGTGTGTGCCAAGTTACGATTTGGTACCCAACGGTCGGAGACTTCTGTAGTTCTCAGTCAAGCATGTCAAGGTCGTACGAAGAGGCACACAGTAGAGCTCGTCCAGAATACGCGGCAGGTGTAGCGTGGCACGAACTGCACGCATTTGCATCTGATCTTCTACACAATTGCAATGAACAAGAAAAAGTAAGAACGATAGATAGATAGACAGAGATAGAGAGAGAGAGAGAGAGAGAGAAAATACGAACGATGCAACAAGGTGAGAGAATAAATTATTCAAGTTGATTTATTAGAAATCATTCGACAAATCAAAGATTAAAATTCGATCTTTGAAATTAAATTGAAAGTAGCCAAGAGAATTAGAAGAGTTTATTTATTGGAATACTAATTTTATGAGAATAGTTCAAGATACGTTGCGAGATTGCGTCTATGGTAGACGCAATGCGTAAACCCATGGGGTATTATTGATTTTCCCTTTGTTTTCAGGATGAGTTTCCCTAAATATACTTTAGTAACTTGAATATCTTTTCTGAACGATATGATATGAATGAGTATAAATATGATTCTAGTCATAACAGTAATTAATATGTTGACCCTCCATAAATGAATTTTTCTGTTTGTCTTTCAGAACAAAGTTGATGATTTATTGAAGTTTTCAACATTGATAATTGTTGAATATAAAACAGAGTCAGAACTGTAGATTTAGTTTATTGAACGTAGATCTTGTTGAAATATTTAGTCACGATGTATAAACAAGTCCTGCGTCGTAGGGCTCGAATCCTGATTGGTCCTCGTAATACCGCATGCAAGTTGTCTAGTCTCTGGTTTACCAAGTGGATGCTGCACACTAAGTAAATAAATTGATCCTTGGCTCTTTACCATACGTCAAGAAAAATCTTTTTTTTTTTACCTAATATTATCCTCATTAAACAAATAATAATAAATGTGAGATTAAGTAGATTCTATCGATGATTTTATCTTAATATAGTTTTAATGGATTATTCTTGAGGTAAGAAGAAAATGATCTATCTATCTATTTATCTTGCATGAGTTAGCTAAAAATGTTGCTTTTTAGGCTTACTTGGTAAAACGATTAAAGCTAGTCGATAAGAAATCCCGATCGAGATAGGACCAAATAGAAGAAGAAGAAGAAGAGGAAGAAGGTGAGGGTGGAAAGTAGAAAGAGAAAGAAAGAAACAAAGCAAGAAAGAAAGAAAGAGAAAGAGAGAGAGAGAGAGAGAGAGAGAGAGAGAGATCGTGACTGTGGTGCTATTATCGCGTTCGAGGAGATAGTAGGCCAACTTTCGAGATGACAGTTTTATCCTCTGTGCATGGCGAACCGTGCAAAAGCGAACCGACCAGCAGCAGCACAACGCGATCCTCTCAAGTATATGTATATATCAAGCAACAAAGTAAGTAAGCAAGTAACCAACCAACCAACCAACCAGGGAGATGAGACGTAAAAGGGGGGAAGAAATCCTCGAGCACGTTTTCGCTACTTTCCGAGCACGATATCGTGAGAATCTGTGGTGAAAAGTGGGGCTCCTTACGTAGAACATCGTCGCTTCGCACGAGGGTAAAAGTTGAGAAATCCAACGGGGAAATCCTATCGCGTGTAGGACGAAAAATACGATCTGCACGGGTGGGAAAACATTGGGAGCGACGACTCTTTAATAACCCAATGTAGAAATGAGGAATCTGACTAATCTCTTTCTGAAAAACGAAAGGATCGAGAAAGGCTCCTTCAGAAGATCTCTAGGAGAAACTTCAATGTTTAAATTATGCAAATTTTGTTGTTGTTGTTGTTCTAGTCTTGCTTTTTAGTTTCGTTTGTAATTTTCTTTTTTATTTGGTTGGCCAGTGATCATCAGCAGATATTGTATTCAGTTAAATGACAATATATTTACTTGTTAAAAAGTGTAAAAGATCTCAATCTAATTTGGAAGGTGAAAAAGAAATGTGTCGTTTGTTAGTAGGTATCTTTCTCTTTCTTTGTTTGTCATCTCGCTTGAAGAGGAAGTCACTCTTGATTCATGCCAAGCGGTAAGAGTGGTATTCACTTTAAAGAGACTTGGCTTAGAGAGTTCGAGACGATTTTCACGTGGCAAGAGACAACCAATGACAAGATGAGAAAAAAGAAACGAAAAGAAAAGAAAGAAGAGTTAGTGTCTTTTCTTAGATTAACGGTGTAGTAGTAGTAGTAGTAATAGTAGTAGTTCGGCGTGGTGCGGTACAGTGCGGTACGGGTACAATCTTCTCGCTTTGCGCGGGGTTAGCGACCGTGAAAGTACTCCCTTGCAAATGTGGGTCGGCTATTTTTCAAAATCGTTGGGACCGATTGCGTGCGCCCACAATCGACCCACTTAGCAAGCTGAGGTCGTTGGACTTGGAGGAGAGTTGCTCGGTTTCCTCGTTCTTCTCACCTTCGGCCGTCCTCGAAGACAGCCGTTCTGTGTGTGACGATCTCGCGATATGTCGCCAATAGCTTGCTAATGTCTTTGCTGTTACTGCTAACCGATCGTTTTACTCAACAGACGAGACCAGATCAGACCAAACCAGACCCAAAGCTGACCAGAACAAAACAGGCCGGACCAAAAACGGGGAACAAACAAGTAAACAAGCAAACGAGTGAGCGAGTACGAAAGAAAGTGCAATTCCCTAATAAGAGTCGTACCGCTTGATTCTCTCTTGAAGAGGCTCGCTCTCGATTCCCTCATTCGATCTTCCTTTCGATTCCTTCCAATCGTTTCTTTCCATTACCAGAACAAGAGAGAGAAAATCGATAAGATATATCGGCCAACTTTGAATGGAAACTCTGCGGTTCTCGAACTTCCGAAGTGGCATGCATGCATGTATGCATGCACGTATGCATGCACGCGCTCTTGCACTCTCGCAAAAGGAAAAGGAATCCTTACGTCCGGTGTTGAAGAATCCAAACTCTCTCAAGAAAGAGGATCATCGTCTTTGAATGATTTTTCTTGAATGTTTGGTAGGTTGTCAGTTGCTGCCACTCTCTCGGTTTACCTTTATTTTTCCACTCTCTCTTTGCATCCGCTATGATGTCCTTTTTTTCTTCCCTTCTTTCCTTTTTCTTACACTTCCAATTACACTACATCTCGATATTTAGATATATACACGTGGTTGTTGGATAAGAAGGATAAAAAAGCAAAGCGGAAGGTGTTTCAAATCGTTCCGGTCGTATTACTCTTCTTCTTCTTATTCTTCTAGCGCTAAAACAGCTCTCATCTTTGATGCAAGTCGGTCAATCGTAAATAAAAGTACTACTACAGCTTTGTTTGTCGCAAAGGCGCGCTCCACTTGCAGCACTTTCATAACTGAACGACGGAGAGAGCAAGCAAGCAAGCAACCAACCAACCAACCAACCAACCAACCAACCAACCAACCAACCAACCAACCAAACAACCAACCAAGCAAACCAAACTAACCAACCAATGTAAGAACGAGAAAGAGAGAAAGGTAGTGTATGTGGATATGTACGCTACGAGAGAAAGGAAGGTACAGAAGTGCTTTCCAGGGTCCAGAATCGGGAAGATTCTTCGTCCCTCCTCCGTTTAGTTCATGGTCTCTTCGTTGACTCTCATCCGATTTCTGAATAAGAAACGAACGACTTTTCTCGCTTCGAAACCAGGTCGTCCTCCTCTTCTTCTTCTTAATCGTCGTAGTTGGTTGTGTTATTCGTTGTTTGCCCCTCCCCCCATCAAACTAATTTCTCTTCTTACTTCCTCATCTAATTTATTAACAGAAAACATTCAGTTAAGTTCTTTTTACTTTTGCTATTTGAATTTTGTCGCAAATAATGCAATGTCTTTTTAAACTTTGTTTTGTTGCAGCTTGTTGACACATGATTTATTTAACGAACAACGTCTGTGTTCATTGATTAGATGAACGAGTTTGCTTCGTAGATTGATAAGAGGGGAAAGCTTAGATAGCAAAAGAAAAAGAGTTTAGGAGGAGAGACTCGGGGCAGTTAAGTTTATGTTGTAAAGAACGAAAGAGAGTGAGAACACGAAGGCGAAGCAGGAGAGTGAATGACGCCGGAGAGAGAGTAGGCCAATGCCAGTGTCAGCGGCTCCGGCTAGTCAGCCCCTCTCGGCAAACTTGATCGTGAAAACAGAAAAACAACGAGCTGCGCCGATTACGTTCGCGATCTCGCGATTTATTTATAGGCCCTTTCAGTTATCATACAATTGAACAATCTTAAATGTTGATTTATGATGATTTATGCACTAAACTAGCAACCCCTAAAACCTCAAACTAAAATATCATCACACCTTTCTTATACTATTTTCTATGCCAATTAGATGAATCTTATGATAGACTAAGGAGTGCACTTATGTTAAGATGATATTAAATTTATTGCATCCAAGTGCAATTGTTGGTCTATTTCTAAACGAAGACAAGTAAGGTAATTTCGATTTTGATCGTTGTCGTGACGTTTCAATGCGAGGCAATATGTGGATCAATGCCGTGCTCCTTGAACAATAAATATGCAACTTTAGAAATGGCAATAGTTTAGGTTCAGTGGTTCTCATGCCATAATCATTATGTCCAACTCACCAATTGCAATATTTTACTTCATGGGTGATATTATCGGTACTCTGTTCTCTGTCGTTTGTATCGTTTGTTTTTCTTTCAGTTTATCTTGGACTTGGGACAATAAAAGAAGGTACAGGAAATATAATTTGATATTTAAAAATAATGAAATAAATGATTGGAACTGGTATACTGAATTTATGTGTCACGTTGATATGGAAGTTGCAAAGTTGTCACTACTAACCTAGACACACTACGGACGTTCGTTATCTAGTTCATTGTCAGGACTTTGTGGTTAATAGGTGTAACGTGGATGTGCGTGTTTTCTTCTCCTCTCGTGGTGGGCGGGTTTAAATCCGCAAACCACGAGATACTCGTCGATCCAGTTCCTTTATGGAATCAAACGAACTATCATACAACAAGGAACTAACATCAATTTCAATTATTAATCATTCCTATTCTATGATTTATTTATTTATTTTTTTTTTTTTTGATCAGCTAACACTTGTAACATTTTATTGTTGTATTTCTAATCGTTCGTAATGTTGAAAAAAAAAAAAAAATAAGAAAAGAAGAAGAAGAAGAAGAAATCGCGATTAAATTTGAAATGGTTGCTCAAGCGATTATGTTCGATGTTACCTAACGTTTATGTATCTATTAACGGTTGCGTCGTCGTACATAAGTATTTTACACATACACACATATACATATACCTTTAATGTCGATGAAATTCTCCTACGCGTAATCACGAATTCTTGCCGAATTCGAAATAAGAAAAGGAAGAAGAGGGAACATGTGAGTTTAAGATTTGGTAGCGTATTTAACGTTACGACACAACGGGAATCATTTTGAAATGATTTTGGCATTGGTGACGACACGTTTCACTGAAAAAGAACAAGAAAATTTGTATGAGTGAATGAGAAATTGAAATTAAAAGAAATGGAATAAGAGAAAAATAGTATGAAAAAGAAAATGATAAAATAAGGGTTGGAAAGAAGGACCTAAAAAAGAAGACTCGTTTCAATGAGTTTGTTTCATGTTTGTCTTCGGTTTTTTTTTCTTTTTTCTTAGAAGATCTTGCAACAAACGAGAGTGAAAACTGAATGAGAAAAAAAGGAAGATGACGATGATGGTTGTTTAGAGAGAGTGTTCGTCGTTTCAATATTTGATTATGTGAATTACGTTGAAACGAGTCTTAGGTATATTTCAGTTTCGTTGGAAACTTCGGTTTTTTTTAAAGAGAATGTGTAAAAAAAAAAAGTATTTTTAAATTAAATTTAACCACGTAAATTTTTAATTAAAATTTTGTTCTTTTCTATTAAATAAAGAATTACAACGTACGAAATGAAAATATGATTGAGAAATATTTAAAGAATCAACATAATAATCGTTAATTATTATGAATTTGGAATAACATCGAATTTTTTGTTTTCATATCTTTGATTAAATAGAAGAAACAATATTATAATCAAACATGACCCGTAAAAAGAAAAAAAATATATATATATGTATCATACGTTTAGCATAAAAACAAATCTTAATTGATTGCTAAATAAAATTATTTAAAAAAAAAAAAGAAAAATACTTTTAGATTATAAAAGTAGAAACAATATTATTATCATTTCACAATTTTG